TCAAGTTTACTTGAAATACGTTATAGCCTATGACAGGTGGATATCGTTTTTTTAATTTAAAATCACTTGTTGAAAAAATGATTATATATCAATAGAACAAGATTCGAACGTATGTCTAGACGTCAATTCGAATTCAAAAAGACATTTGTTTCTTTAAACCATGTGCATTTAAATTTATGTTGGAAACTTTGGAGATTGTCATGAAATTTGAACTTAAAAGGTACAATGATTTTTAGATCTATTACAAGCCTTTATAAGAAGTATACCACATAATGGGTACAGTTGGTTAGCAAAGGTTTGAAGTTCATACAAGAGTGAATGTTTTGACTTACTCGCAGAACATCTTTTTTGTATTTCCATAGAGAAATAGAATTTAAGTACAGATACAGTTCAAATTTTGAGGGAATTAGTTTAGATCAATTGATGTTGTTTTTAGATGATTCATAAAAATGAAAGAGTTGGTATATAAATTTTATGCCTTTTTTAATGTCATTTATTATAGATAACATACACGTAGTTTTATTTGTTCAAAACTCACATAGAACATGAATGTTAGAAAAGAATTATTCGGACAAAACATGAAATAAATACATCTATATTTTACTTGTAAACATATAATATTTAGCCACTCATTTCAAATAAAAAAGGAATTGTACATGTAATGAAAGATAAATAATTAAAAATGGAATTTTATAAAAAGATTATCATAAACATTCACTATGATATTAATATTACTATAGTAAAACTGTGCATGTGTATCAGTTTAACTACAACTTTTTTCATGTTTAATCACAAGATCTTAGACTCGTGTGACAAAACAAACATTAATACCAAATTCTAAGAAACATAAAACCATTAGAACGGGTGAAGAAAGTATCAAAAGTGTGCATAGTTTGAATGCAAAGTCTAGCTCATCACAGACACTTAAACTTATAACAATATTTTCAATAAAGACCAAATGCCTAAAAGGAAATTTAATTTATTTACTTTAAAGGTATTTATAATGCTATTTTACGAGCATATGTCTATTGATAAAAAGGTACAAAATGTATATTCAACTAATAATCAGCCATTAGATCTAACCATGCTATTTCAAGTACATATGCCACTAAATATAAAATGATATTTAATTAGTATTTATTTTCAACCATTAGATCTAACCATATAACAAAACAGACATGACTAAATCAAATGAATTATAAAGATGAAATAACTAAAGAATTAAGTGTATTTATAAAGTTTTATAGTTAAAAATTAAAAAATATTAAAAGTCAAATGTACAAACTACTCAGCGTTAAAGTTAAAATAAGTCCTTTATTCATTATTATGTTATGTTTAGTCATGAATGGAGATATAACTTTATTGGAAAACCAGTTTTAGAAATTCGCATTCTCATACGTATGTAAGACTGTAAAGTTATTTCAACTTGCATGCAACGTTATTGATTTTCAAATAGACATTGATACAAATTCCTAGCACTCATAAAAGAAATAAAAAAGGCGAAATAGATAATTGTTAAATGTATTAATAGTTTTTTTAGTATTACAAGTAAATAATAAAAAGATATGTGGTAAAGTTTAATTCAATTGTTATGACAATAACATTTTTCTTTTCTAATATAAAACTGTTGTCTTGAATGGAAATATAACTGAACTAAACAAATATGGTTTAGACAACCATTTCATATGTCAGCTAACTTTTCTTTTTTTACAAAGTTGTTGAATGTATTGTGTTAGTAATTTGTTTAAGTTAGTAAGCTTGCCAAGTTTAAATAAAAATATAAAGAACAAAAGAAATTGTAAAGTTAAAATCATAAACATCACAGCAATATTTATCATCAAATAAAGAAAGATAACTCTTTATTTTTGTTTTGTTTCAAAACAACGCATCTCAATTGCAAAGGCAAGAAATAAACCATTGGTATCTTAAGAGTCAAACAGAATTACACATATCACTACTTATAAGTATAATATTTTGTTTTATAAGTTTACAACATTCCCGGCAAATGTTTCAAATTTTATCTTTTTTTGTTTTCTCCTTGCTAACGTATTATCATATGTTCATTATTCTATTTGATTTTATTTTTAGTTTTAATTGACTCGTAACAACATTCAAAATGACAATATCAAAAACTAATCTAGATATCAATATTGTGAAAAATGTATTATCAAATCACATGTATCTATCTCAGTCGTTAGGCAATACTCTTATATCAAGTTATATGAAATTATCTTGTCAAAGTATAACATTGTCATATCCATAAATCATTCAGGAAAGTAAATAGACTCTGAATAATTTAACGGCGGTTTGCATTCTGGCCACATACAATGTAGTTAAAACACTTGAACTCTAGATACGTGAATGGCTTGCATCTTGTTCACATACTATTTAGCGAGAAGCTTGTACTCTGGCTCCCTCAGAGGTTTGCATCCCGGTCACATACCATTCAGGAAGAAAATTAAACTCCGAGTCCCTCAGCGGTTGGCTTATTATAACCGGTTCATGTGGGTTCCACTTGAGTGTATAGACTATTCTAAAATATTTACAAAATATTTCCAGATTAGTTTTATCGGTACAAATACATGATTAGCAAATAGATAATATAGAATTACAAACTTTCTACAAATGGTATTATTACATTGGTTATGTTGAATATGAGTTTGTATAAATCTTGATATAAAAATTTACCTGTAGTCATCGTGAGTTATTTTTGATTTGATAGTAGATAGAAACGCGTCCAAGAAATTATAACACACATTCGGTTTCCATGGATCACGGGCATCCTGAAACATTGTAAAAAGAACTCTATAAGATGCACAATTATCTTATCTGATTGAAGTGTTTGAGATTAATTCATTGAAACAAACCCAGAACAAAGTGACTGCGCCTTCGTCTATGTAAATATGAAATGTTACATAATTTTGTACTGTCTAATTTTATCTTAAATGTACCAGCATTAAAACGTGACATGGGATAATCATTGAAACACAAATCTATGCCTCTAGTATTAAGCTAGCCAGTCTGTCGCATGCTCGAGCAGTCAGGCAATGTCTTTGTTCAATTTTCGGCTCAATTTCCATATTGAAATCCCTTAACGTAATGGTAGTCAGGGTCAATTCTTTTGAAGATGTTAGAACAAAAGTTAACTATGCAGGATGTTATTAATGTATTCATACTTCTTTCCTTATTTTTACAAATAAGATATGAAAACAAACAAACGTACATGGCATAAATCCAAGGTAAAAATTCATGGTACTGTCATAACCTTATTCTCGAAAAAGTTTTAACCCCTTTTTTATACACATTACAACTGCATGTAAGCAGAATAAAATGTTCTGAAATAAACAATTAACTGCTAGATTTAACTCATTTTAGAGTTTTAACTGTCAAACAATGAAATATACGAACATATCATCTATATAGATACTTTGGAAAAACTATCTTTTTTTAAAAAATATATCAAAATTCAGACAAAAGATATATAACCTTATACACTTTTAAAATAAAATATTATTTTATTTCATGTGTGAAACTTCTGTAAGACATGGCTAATGAGTATTTCTCACGTATAAGTAGACACTAAGATACATACCTTTGCAATATCAAGCAGCTTAGCTGTGTCGAAAGTATGCAACCTTTTAACAATGCCATCATCATCTTTGAAACCACAAACTATTTCCTTGGTACCTGTCAGATGACTTTGTGCCCACCATTTTTTCGTTTTGTACCTAAATGTTAATTTCAATCGTTAAGAACAAATTCTGATATATCTCCTATAAATTAAATGATTAGTATACGATATTAATATTAGATTTTGTCTGATATATGTAGTTAATTATCCATATCTGACGTTATCACTTTTTTACCATAGATAAACTATTTAGCTTTATGGTGATCTATATACTTACGCTTGTAACATACATGTATTTAGATAAAATCAACCTTTGTATTCCTTGTTATATTGAATCATCGCAAATTTTGACACAATGCGTTTCAAGAAGTTCTTTAATAAAGTTGCATGCAAACTGATTTTCAAAGTTTCATCAGAAACTATCTTACTTTACACGGTATCGAAGCTAAATAACTACAAAAGGTCTGATATTAACAACGTTAAATATCATTTGTCGCAAGAAGAACGAACGCACAAATTCCACTAATCAAACATATTTCTATATTTCTTTAAATATACAATACTATGTATAGTATCCCTTTGCTACCAAGTATAAACAATGCAATGCAGTAATTTTTGGCTAATAGGAGGGGGCTTTGAATACAAATTCTTCACACATCATATACACCATGCGTATGTGTTGATGCATAATAAAGGACCAACCTCTGGAAATTCCGGAGATGTCTTTGTTCCATTCTGTAATCCTTAGTTGTTTTAAACTCAACATATGAGTTACCTCTCTCTCTATCAACTTTGACAGCGTCTATCTCTCCGGAAAATACTTGAATACAAAACACATGAACAGTAACATTTGATGTCTTCTAAGTTCATTATTATCTATGTTTTTCTAAGATTTCTGATATTTATGGAATAGACAATGCAATCAAATAAGATTATAACTTTAGATCAGTTGGAATTTATTTTCAGCTATCATGTTAAATAAAGCTTTTGATCAAGTTCAATGACTCATTTAGTCCCAAAGAACAATTATTTTATATTCATAAATTGAGGTTCTGTTTCTAAAACGATACAAATTTGCCATAAAGCTGGACCAAATATGTTTTATGTCATTAAAAAGTAAAAATGATTTTTTTTCTATTTTGTATGGAAGACGAAATACGATTTTCCTAACGTTTCGCTACTTTATTTATAAAAAGAAATCACATTTATACGTAAATAATCTTCTAACTTTCTTTTAAGCCGTCATTAAAACATAAAACACAGCTTATACTTTTCTGCAGAGAAAATATCGTTTTCAGTTTTAGTCATAAAGTCAAACATTTAGAAATATATAAGTTGGTTAATAGTAACAACGTGTTGCTATTATTACCTAAAGAATGACTTTTTAGCTTTGACTTGACGACTTTATAAAATCCTTCACAGTTGTTGTACGGAATTTCTGTGTTCGGTTGCCCATCTGCGGCATCTGCAAATACGATTTGTTAACAGTACTGTAAGAAAATGTAACTTGTTCTGCAATCGTATAAACTGTTTGGCAAGCCTCTGAACAAAATGCTACGTTGATATAGTGTACTCCAATATCGTTTAATGATATCACCATCGCATACATTATTTACATGTTTTGTCTTTTTTAAAACATTATTTAGAAGTGAAAATATAAACAACTTGTCATACTAATAATTTGCTACTAAAAGCATCAATGTCTTTCTTAGTTACTAAAGATTTATGAAAACAACTGAAGGCCGACGAAAAAAAAATACGGAATCATTTTAAGCAATATTATTTACCTGCTGTTAGATATTGCTCAAATTTCCAACCTCGACAGCTTTCTATGTCATCTACTGTTTTTCTTTCTCTCTCCTTTTTCTCATCGGACTCGACTTCATTCAGATAATAAGTTCCATTGAAGAGTGTTACAGCTATATACCAGCCTTCATCTTCCTCATAAGGCGTAAGCAGTAATTTTGTAATCAATCCACGCTGTGTGACAAAATCAGCGTCTAGCCTGTTTTACAGAAAGTAAATTTAAAGATAGCTTGAGTGAGATGAAAGCCTGAAGTTTATATGCATCATTCTCGAGTATGGTTTCTAGAACTAGACTGTGCTTGTATTATATGAGAACCATGGTCATGACACCAGTATCTCTTAGGTGAGAGCCAGACAATGTTACCACTATGCTACCTTTTCCAAAGCTTTAAACATAGGTTTGACAATTTATTCCGTTGCTTTTTAAAGGAATTAGGGAGGACAGATTATGAAATGATTATTATATAGAGGATATTTGTTTGTTTGTGTGTAAGATGAAATTTTATTTCATCGAGTGGGCTTTAAAAACAGTATTCTCACGAGTGGCGTAGCCACGAGTGAGAATACTGTTTTTAAAGTTCACGAGATGAAATAAAATTACATCTTACACAACAAACAGACACATTTTCTTTTTATTTTATGCTTAAAAACAAGTTAAAACGAAATTTCCATAATTTTAACGTTAATATTAAAATATGTTTCCCCCATTGAGAGCCCCATTTAGACGGAATTTCTCATTTAAAACAAGAAGTCTTGAGCTGAAAAAAAAAGTCCGCCAATCAAGGTTAAATGACGGTAATATTTATTCATTTTATCAAAAAATATGAATGATCGCTTGTTTTAATAATAAAAACAAACAATTCTTGTAGGAGAAAAAGTCCAACCATCCATCCATATTTCTGTTACTTACTGCGAATTTATATTAGACCTGGCTTTGTAAAATGTAAGCGGCAGCCATTTTTTAAAGTTGTGTATTTCATGGGAGGAAATAATTGTGTAAGATTCAGAAGGATATAATTTGGATTTGTTTAGTCATACACCTTTTTAAAAGAAAGAAAACTTATTTGAGGATTGTAACAGACAAAAAAATAAGTGTTGACAGAAGTGAAAACATTCAGAAAAGGAGCTAGGAAATTGGAAAACTTTGAAGCTTGCTAAGGAACGCTGGGATGTTTTACTTATTTTACGAGTGATGGCTGTCAATGCTTTTCAATTTTTCATAAAGCATACGGCAGTTATTGCTCGTAGGATACTTTAATATGCCCAAATGTCATCAAGAGCAGTTTTGCATGGGGAAGGAATGTATTTTTCAGACTGTAAAAACGAAACAAAAAAAATTTTAGAGACGAAATTTGGTGATTGGAATTTGAAGGAATAGAAGTAAGTTTTCTCTCTTTACTACTTTTGACATTTAAGTTAATTATGTATTTCAGCTTTGCTATTTCTTTTAACAGCCTGACATTGTCAGAATTGTCAGTAAAAATAAAATTGAGGTACTACATGGGGAAAATCTTAAAAAAGTAGTTTCGTCATTGAAAAAAGTGAAATTATATTTTGATAATTTTCACTGTGAAATTATCAAATATAATTTTCACGGATAAATCAGTAATCCACTGAAAAGCATAAAATAAATTATGTTTACTTCTTGATTTAAACAATTGTAACATACTGATAAATAAGCCTCAGTAAATTAAAAAGGTATTAAAAATATCAGCAATAACTATAAAACCATACGGTTGTCGTTGGCAGGCATACGGACAGATCACAAGATTGCAGTTTTATCAGAAGTAAATACCTTTCACTAGCTTCTTCTGTTCCCATATGGCCTTTTATCCAATACAGGATATTTATATCACGTCCCCTTTCCTTTATATGTCTTGTTTCAAATCCATGATTCAAATCAAAATATACTTTTTGTAAATTCGGCGGTTGAATGTAATATCTTAGACCTACATCTGAGTCGATAAACTTCTTGTTGATGTCCAGTGAATATGACCCCATTTCAACCGGTTTGCCATATTTCGGAGAAGGTTTGTCAAAGTCACTATACTTTTTAACCGCGAAAAATGGGTTCTTTATCTCACGTACTACACCGCCTTGTGGATTTTCACGATCATTTTCCATTTTTAACTTGATTATATCTACTTTATGATTTTCTTCCGTCTTAAATAAATATAAATCACACATATAATTTGTAACAAAATAGTGTCCTTACATTTATGTCGCGTTTACGTAATTCACTTATGAAAAAATGAATTGATTTGTATTTTCAGAAAATTTGTAAACAGACACTCACACTATAGTCAATAATAAAAAGTAATGATGATTTTCATTCAAATTCGACTAAATCATATCAAATAAATATCACAAATAAAATATGGACTATAGTCTCCTATATGTTAAATGAATTTTTTATGTATCTATTTTACAAAATTACATCAGCCAAATGTGTGTTATTCACAAATGGTTATTTTGCATTGATTTTCTAAGAAATACAATGAATTACATTTTCAACATTTTCATTATAATAAAAGTTATGAAACGAAATTCAACTACACAACACACCTGTTTTTTTTTAATATGGATCCATTCAAATACCGAAAAATGGCTGAAATTTAGGAAATGTGTGAACCCCAAACCTAAAAACCATTTATCCCTATAACTATTTCATTTGTCTATTAATTTTTATTTTTATTCTGTTTTTTATATATATATAATAATATATATATATATATATTTAATATATATATATTGTACACCTTAGAGAAAAAAAAACAACGATTCTTTTATGATATGAAAGAAATATGAGTCCCTATTAATTGGTCCTAACCTGTGGGTGGTTAGTAAATGTTTTAAGTCATAGTCCTTAACAACAGTCATCGACAGTAACCGCTATGTATCTAAGTCACCTAAATGTACTATCTTCCTAATAATCAATTTAAAAACGCATCAAATATTCATACTGACCTTAACGTTTTCTGAAAAGCATAAAAAATGGTGAATAAATACCATTGAAAAACAAGTTTTATTCATGCGGTTAAAAATTTAAAAGTTTATATATAATTTCTCAATAAAGTCGAACCATTTATATCACGTTTCGTGATATAAACCGCCGCAATCGCTAAACATGGTAACATTTAAATAGCTTTGTTATTGTTATAAACTGATAAGTTTTGCGTTCATTGTATTACTTTTTGGTACATTAAGCACACTATTATATGACTAGAAAAAGAAAAGTATACACTGCTTTAGTAACTATGGATAACGAGCATTCGGTGTTATTGTCATTTGTCTCTCACAAATGATTTTGAAACTAGTTTCTCACCTTTCACCAATATATTGTCAATATATATAGTAATTAACCCTTAACCGCATGAGCATATTGTAAAAAAATGGCCGTTTTCATTAAGAAGCCTCCTGTTACAAGTTCAAACTGCTATGAAACTATGAAAAATTAATGCTTCAGTTCTAATGAAACTTAGCACATTTGGTGACTGGACCCTAGCCTCTGTAACAGTATGATCAATCTTTAATTTCCTGTTACCATGGCAACGAGGGGACGTCTCAAAATTGCCAAAAATCACTACTTTGCTTTTTTTCATCAAAACTGATTTTAAAGTGTTGCAACTTCTTAATGGATTGAGATAGAGTAAAAGGCTTTTCAGCGTTGGTTACACGCTACCTTACGATCAACCTGAGGCCATTTTTAACCCGTCATATGTCCAAAATTTTCTTGGCGATGAGGGGGCCCCCCTTCAAATCCCCGAAACAGAAGGGGATACATCCCCCTCGTGGCAATCCCCTGATATACCTTCTTGATGGAGGGCGCCGCCGAAAAAGTGATCACTTTTTTATCAACATTTCTCAAACGATACACATGTGTTTGGGGCCTAAACAGAACATTTTTTTCACTTTTTGAGGCCTAAAAAAGGGGGGGTCGAAAGTGCGTTGTTTCGCGTAAATATGAGGTAAAGGGTTAAAACCTAAGTATGTCCTCTGCGTACATATTGTCTTTTATTTAAAAACCTGTTATATTTTCAGAGATAAATCTTTTGTAAGGAAAATGCATTAATGCTTTCTAATCTGATAATTTTTCATCATTGTATTGTGCTAATCATCATTTAATGTAAAAAGTACACACACAAACATAAGTAGTGTAGAAATTTAGTTAAAAATACGATGTCGAAGCTACGGATATATAATGAAACTAATATTTACAATTGTTAATAACTATATAGATACATTTTTTTTCATTTGTAGTAAAATCACACTTCCAAATAGTCTTGTTCAATTTACTATAATAGTCATACACAAAATATAAATCTTATGCTGTTGTTTATTTATTTTATTCATTTCTTTTGGTGTTTTTGTTTTTTATCATTTCAATTTACTATTTTTTATAAATTAGAATTAACCGCCGTTAAGTTTGTTAATGTTACCTGTTTCCTTCACAACTTTTTCCAGAAATTGATCTTTGTCCACATATGTTTGGAGGCGAATGTTTTCTCCAAATATTTTTGACAGAGTGTTGGATACCTTTTCTATATGATTGTTTCTCTCTTCTCCCCCGAAAAGTTTCCAAACATTTGTTAGTCCTTCCATATCAGAGACTTTTACGGGTAGCACTAACTTCTTAATCTCCTTTTTGCTGCACTCTGTTCCAATGCTATACACTTGAATAAAGAAGGCAAAAAAAACAAATTGAATTTAGAATAAAAGAACAAAGAATATTTTACAGTATCGAAGTCTTACTGTATATGCAAATTTTAGAATATAACAAAGTCAAGTAATAGTTGGACATTATTTACAGGTAAGAAATCGTTCGACGCAAGATAGATGTACTGTTTGTAAATATTGAGTCCTAAAAGCAATGGGTTCCAACTTTAACGTAAAGATTATTTAAATATATTTTGATTAGTTGAAGATAAAAGGTTGCTGTGTTTAGAAATGCACTTTTTGCTAATGATATAGGCTTTCAATCATAAATCCAATCCTTATAACATATACAATATTTCCATGGTATATTTTATTTGTGGTGTATTGTTTACATGCATACGTTGAATGGGATATTAAGAAGCAGCTATTTACTTATGTGTTCTTTCCTTTTAAAAATATGTAGGTAGAATACTTACAATAGGAGGAAATAGCACTCTGAAGACTCGTAGGCTCAACTTTCCAAGACAATGAACACGGAAAGCCAAGTAATGTACTGACAGTAGACGAAATGCTTGATAAACGTTGCTTGCAATGACTACTGATCATATACTTCAACAAGGCGAGAATGCGTGTCACCGAGGAACAGAAAATTGGTATAAGGATACTCCCGACACGAGCTTCGCCAATTCCGTCAGAGTGTTGGTTTATATCACTGAACCAATCAATCAAATCATCAAACAACTTAACCGTAAGTTCTCCGTAATAAACAACCCTTTGTTCTATCATTTTTCTGATTTCGTCGTTGTCAAACTTTTGATGATCTTGAATTATCTTGACGAATTCAAATAGTAAGTCGATGGCTTTCTTTTGTTTCTCTTCGTTTCCACATTTTACTTGTACAATTGTATCTAGGTCTAAAAATACATATTTACAAACAAGAACATTTTTATTTTTTCAAATAAATGGAACAATGAGATCTTGTATCACTAACAATAAAATAAAAAAATACCTTTTGTAAAATCGTGTTTTATTTTCCAAACGATCTTGTCGATCTTGCCTTCCAATTTTGACATTCTCTGGGAAGTCTCATCTTGGCCTTCTGTCAAAATAGATTTAAGAGTTTCACCTTTTTTCCAAGCATTAAACACAACATTTTTGTAAAACACTAAATTATTGAAAACTGAAAATAGAACAAAAATCATGGATCATGATTGAATGGATTAAACTGTATAAAATTTTCAATAATTAAGTAACACGTGCGTACGTGTGTATGTGGCCTGCGTGGAAAGATATATCTGCGTGTGTCCGCACGTATGTTTACTTTGTCAAATGTTATTGTTTTTGGAATGCTTACGTAATTTTGAAGATATAAGGAATATAAGGAATTCAAAGTATTCATTTCGGCTTATGTTTTATCAAGGATATGCATTTAAGTTGTTTCTACATTTTTATGTTGATGAAAATATACAAATTTTATGGATTACTTATCAAAAACTTTTACTTGCTGAGTTACCACTTTAAAAAAAATATGACTGTGTCTAAGCAAAGCAATCTACAGGAAAAAAACGCATTTTAAATCAATTTCTTGATATTTGTCTTTTTATTTTTTTTATTTTTGAAAAGATAAAGATATATAATGCTCAATACTGATCATTGCCATACCATTCCTTTTTAATGTTAAATAAAAAGCTTTTTGAGTACACACAGAGATATTGTACGTGTTAAACTCCACACACAATATGAACACATAGTGCCATTAAAAAACTTGCTTTTCTTTTCAGAAAGGACCATAATAGCTTAACCCACAGTGTATACATGTATCTAATAATGCAAGAATGTGCAATTAACAAAAACGTACTGCGAATATGTGCAAAGGTATGGCTAAAACAAATACGCGTAACAGAGTAAGTAAACCGACCAACACATTTAACCTTTAATTAAATTAAAAGATATGAATAAACGCATACGGATGTTATTACAGTATACTTGAACCCGCTTTGCAAATATTTCCATTAATTTCTTTACATTTTGAGATCATTCGTGAGAATGATAACTGCGACTTTTGTGTTTTGTCGATAAAAATAAGTACATGTATATATACGCATTTCAAAATTTATGTTCTTTCTATAAAATATCTCTTTTACATTTGCCAAACTATCATTTAATAACAGAGGGAAGCAGATGAAAAATTTAGGTACTTTTTATGAGGTAACCAGAGTTCCTTTTTTGCATCATTCACGAACTCTTCGTAACATCGTAAAATGGTCTCTGTCACATCTTTATCTGCTAATTTAATTAAGTGTAATACCACACGAGTTGATTGGCAAATGTCTCAGATATTACCAAAAAATGATAGTTAATGTTAGATAATACTTTTGTATTTGAAGATATCGAAGAAACACAAAAGTCGCATTCAATTTAAGGAAGCATTCAGTCAGGTCGGTATTTTCATAAAAGATCTACAAAACCAAACACTTTCATGGAAATATTTTTAATAAGGTTTACAATATATGTCTCAGCAATTGTAGGCGCTAAATTAGTTCTTCATTTTGATGTACAGTAAAATATGGGGTGATTTGCTGCTCGTTTCAGCTTGACAATTGCACAATTCCTGCGTTATTGGCACATTCCAGTAATAGCAAATGCAGTTTCCCATACAAAGCATTATCTTCTATAAATTAGAAATATCGAGTAAAAGTGTCTAGATTTCAATACATTTCTGCAAAGATGAAATCCGCACGAGTACAGTGACTCGGACAATGAATAAGATAGATATGCTTATTTTATCAGTTGCGAATGTTATATTTAATGTTGATTGTTTTATAGTTTAATTGTTCTTTATTTTGAACATTTATTATTATTAATATTTTATGCCTGGATGTGTCAAACACTTTTCCTTTTCGATTTTAATAATATTATTTAGATACGGCACAGGGATGCCTGCTTATACAACAAAACTACCATTTCTTACATAATTAAACTTCCCGATGAATATGAGTGACAACATATCAAATTGTGAGGTGATCAAATATCAGTTAATATCTATTGTTACGCATGACGCACATTGGACAAGGTTTGAGGAAACTATTTAAGAACCATAAGAATAACAAAAATTTAACTTTTTAACAGTATCTAAACTTCCTAAGCTGTCAGACCTCGACGAAAATGATATTGTGTGAAGTTCGTAAATTTAATTTCCCTTCAATATTTCAATATTTACTATTGGAAAAATAACCTTAATTATGCTTGAAAGTTCTATGTATCGAAGTATCTGAAAAGCCTGGTAGTAGATTATTATGAACTATGTAAAGTTAAATTAATCCCACTCCTGACGAGGACATTTTTAACACTCGAGTTCTAAGCTCTGGTACCCTTTCAAAATTCTAGCTCTGGTACCCTTTCAAAATTCTATTTTGTTTAGTTCCGCCCGTTGTTATCCCGTGAAGGGCACGCGCTTTCTATTACTTGGGGACCGTACGCCGTTTTTCATGGAATGGCACTTAGTGTGAGATTGAAGGTTCAATGATAGCCGCCGTATGAACACATCTGCGGATGTTTCGAAATTCAAATTTTCACCATTTTCATGTTTGAATATTGAATTTTGCTTAAGTCTGTGTTAGAGGGCCGTGGACGGTAGTTTGCACTTGACAATGCCGTCCATGAACAGGCTCAATCTAACCGAGCCTGCAACATTTTCAATTTTGCCGTTTTGGACTTTCTTTAGGGGTTCCTGTTTTCTCTATTTTCTAGGTATGACTATTTTTTTATTTTTTTTTTCATTTTTTTTTTTTTTTTTTAATTTTTTTTTTGGAAAAATTTATATTTTGATATCATTAGTTATCATATTAGAGCAGTTTTGATAAACTCTATTTATTCTTAAAAAAGAATTCTTACATTGTAAATGGTGACCAAAACAATTAATCTCATTTATAGCTTTACTTAAATTAGCCGTATAGAAAAATTCTATGGACAGCTTGTAAATAAAACTTTTAATAAGATTTATGGTTACCTTAAAAATTGTGATGTAACTGTTGTCTCTTAAAAACACGTTTGTCTGAAAATATTCTTACTTACCTTTGATAGTTGTCACACACTTTTCTAAAGAAGACAGTTTTGCCTTAACGTGTTCAAACTGTTTTTCTATTGAATGTTTTAAACTAGTACTAAAGGCTTGTGTCTCATGTATTCGTTGAATTGCTGATGTAATGTCAATACTGCCTTTTTCCGATTTTCTTATTAGGCCTTCAACAGATTCATTGACATATCCAGCAATATTTCGCAAAAGGTTTTGTATACGTTGTTGATTTTCACTAAATTCTGTTTCGTCCATTGACAAATTACAAGGATGTGCTTGGATAGAATTTCTAAAACCCTTTAATGCGTCGATATCTGATACAATTGCATGAGGCAGTACTTGATAAAACAATTTCTTCACGACAAGCAAAATAAGAGACACATCCCAAGTGTTTACATCTGCATTTGCTGTACCAGGCGATGGATACAGGACTTGCCGTTGTTCTTCTAAGATGTTTTTGAATCTGAGTTGGTTTCTCAAAAGCAGCTCTTCAAGGGTTTGTCCTGACCTAATTACTTCTTGATCTACAAGGCATCTCAACACAAACATACCTCCTTCCCCAAGCAACAGTAAATTTCTCAAATACCTCTCTTGATCTAAAGTTGCCATTCTGCAAGTTTCAAATTGTACAATGTTATTCCATTTAAATCATAAATTCTATTAGTGTATCTGTGTGCCAATAATGCAGAATGTACATAATCAATTAAAAAAGATTAATATGTTTTTGTATTATATCATAAAGTCGAAAAGATATGTTCACTAAGCTTCTCAATCATATGTACACGTATAAACCTTTTTACAGTAGCAACGTATGTTGCATTTCGCGCATGCGCATTCTGCGTAGGGCAAAATCGCAATAACGATAGCATACATTTAGCGCACTTAAAGTCTTTAAAAGGCGTGATTTCAAGTTATGTCACCCAGAAAATAATATTTTTGGATATACTTAAAACGTAAATGATATCTATAACAGAATACATTTCTCGTCAAATTGTTATCTGTTTAAATATCATTAATACTATTTTCATCAGTAATCTAAATAAAAACAGCAGGGTGTTAAAGATCACATTTTATTACCAATGTATTACATAATATTACACAATTGGTATTCCTTTGAAAGTGGATTGGCAAGGCGGTAAGTGTCAAACAGATTGACCGGTTGTTATTAATTTTGCCAGCTACTTAACAATATCATTCAATCCCATGACATAGTTAATTACTTAAAATTATGAAAAGGGTTAATCGTAATTTAAGTAATTTTTATTTATACCAATCTCATCAATGTTTATTGATTTTGTGAAGACAAATAGTGTACGTGACGTGCATTTCCATGTGTTACAAGGAACCGGACAAAATGTGTGTTATTCCACCACCCATCTTAACTTCACAAGAGTTTGAAAAATTATTTAAATATATTATGTGACTTAAAAAATTCCTGTTTGGCATCTCGGTCAAGTTGGATAAAGGATAAAATTAGCTACACTGAAAACTAAAAATGCATTATATCACGTGTTCCGACTTTTTTTCAGAATGATATTTAACCTCGATTTTAAATGTTAATAAAATTTATATAAAAATGTTATATACTATATGTAATAAAAATATTTTTTTAATATGAACGTTTTCAACAACAATTAAATTGACTTCTTTATTTGCTAATGCTAATATATATATTTCCACCTATTTGTACAACAATAATCTCGATCGCAAGGGGGAATTCTTAAACAATCGTCTTTTCCGTGCCTTTTTGGGGCAATCTTGGCCACAAAGCTATGAAGGCATCTTTTGTGTTTCTGTAAAAAAAGCTATTTTATATGATTTTCTAATTTTTACCTTACACAAACTCGGAATTGTCTATGAATTTCTACTTCATTTCTACATGTATGTAGGTTTTTTTTGCCCTACGCAAATTGCGCATGCGAGAAAAATACTACTTCCTGTCATTTTTTCATAGCAACGGACCGCGTCGTAAAAAGGTCTATAGGTGCACTGGATGATGCAAGTTACCGTCCACGCCCTCTAGCACCGGCTTAAGCAGAATTCAACATTTAACACGAAAATGGCGAAATTTTGAATTTAGAAACATCCGCAGATGTGTTCATACGACGGTCATCATGAAACCTTCAATGTGAGAAATTCCGTAAAATTGTTTAAAGCAATATTTTTGTGTATTTTTATATTTCTGTATGGACAATCAATTTTTGTAGTAAAAATAAAGTGACAAATAGTAATTTAATTAAGATGCATATGTATGAAACAGATATTTATTTTCTGTAACATATATTCAATGCAACCACGATGAATTCTACTATATGAACTATGATTTGATTTTGTCTAACTAGAAGAAAAGTTGCCGAAAGTTAACAAAAGGAACCTGGTTTCTGGAAGAATTGAGCTTATTTTCACTTTCATTGTAGCAGCGTCAAACATGTTACCAATGTTTTTGTCGACGACGATGGAATGCTCGTTTGAAAAGGACGAATTACATAATAATAACCTACCGGTTTATATTTCATAGGGGTTCTTAAGCATGCAATGGATTTTTATCTCACGTACCTAGATGTCTTGTAAATTTAACCTTATTTGTCCAATTTCAGCTCAAATTAAACCCAAAATGTACAAATGTGGCGCCGTTATATGTCGCAACGCCGCTAAATGTCGCACTTGCCGCTAAATGTCGCACCATTGCCGCTAAATGTCGCAACCACCGCTAAATGTCGCAAAATCATTTGCCGTTAAATGTCGCAATGTTAACGTTAAATGTCGCACGAATTTCCCTTACCGTTAAATGTCGCAACACTACCGTTAAATGTCGCAAGATGTAATTTCATGTTAAAATCATTTTTAAAGAAGAATTATATTACTTTTTAACATTCTCATAGTTATTTTAATTGCAATTGCAATTACACAAAAATTATCTTTGTCTTACTTGGTTTCTTTAATGAACCTAAATATCGAGGTTTTGAGCTACTATATAATGTAATCTTCAGGCTAGAAAGGATAATTGATACAAAATTCTCAATAGATAAGTATTTTTCTTTTGTTTAACATTTTCGTTTATAACCCTGATCGACAACAGATTAAAGGTATTATGGTATTGTCGCTCTCAGAATTTGGTTTAAGTCATTTCATTTATTTTCTCAGAAACTACCGAATTTACTTTAAACGTGGTTTAGTTGTTCACTATGATCAAAAAATTACTAATGCATTTGTAAATGACAGATGACCCAGAAAGGTATTTTTCTAAAATTTCTCCCCTTTTATTTTTCCAAAAAAAAAAACATCACAAATATTCACTTCAAACGTGCAATATTGATTGAATATCAAGGCAATTTTTTTATTTTAACTGAAACGGCAAATACGTGAAAAACATAGTATGAAATGCACGGTCAATACGAAAATCGAAGAAAAAAATCATGTAGTACTCCTTGATCATGTAGTATTCGATCCGCAGTCGGGTGCTAGATATGAGCGAATTTTACGATTATATGCACCGGAATTTTTGTAAGCAGCCAGCCCGCATAGAGCGCGAGACTTGTAACCTCGACCTTGTTGGTTCTATTCCCGGGCTGGCCAACTAAAATTACTGATCAGTCTTTCGGATGATACTTTAAATCGAGGTCCCGTGTATGGGTGCTAAAATAACTTGGCACGTTAAAGAAGGGGAAGCTTCTGGAATCGGGGCATCTTTCTATATCTGTAATTGCACTATCCTCAAAATGACTTGTACTCTTCTGGAGGACTCGCCCATATGGGCAACCAGTGGCGAGTATAAATAAACGCAAATTCACACACATTAAGCAGATGTCAAAGTTAAAATAAGTACACAAGATTTAGTACATTTTACTATTTGTCAAACACTATTTACGCTTTGACATTGTGGCAAGTGATATTTTACTCGCCAAGTCGCTTTATACTATGAAAGATTCTCAGTAAATATCATATAATAAGAATACAAATAATTGATTAAGCTCATATTGGCCTTGCTGTTTGGCTGAAGACAGCTAGCCGTTTTGGCCAGATAATTTAGGCTTTTTATGTCATTGCTTAATCTGTTACGCTTCATTATAAATATTTTAATGAAATTAAATCTGACATTTTTCGAAAAACACAAGACATGAATTTTACATATGTAACGACGATATTGGTTAGATATCTGTAACCACTTTTTTGTTTGTCCTTATATGCGCATGTCGAGTACGTCATAGTGAAGTTCAAATGACCATAAATACAAATAAACGCACAATAGTGTATCTATTTTAAGATAATTTTAAGAACTATATTTTTCAAAACAAAAAAATGGAACAGATGTGTAAAGAAAACATCTTTTTAATTTATTGCAACAATAATATGAATGACCATTGCCTTTCTGGCGTTAAAATGGAAATAAAATCACGCATATGACTAGCAAATTTGATAAAAGCATAAACTGTTTGTGTGAACTTCATCCTGCAAATTAAAATATATTTTAGCATTTGTGACCATGACCCATTGATCCCTTCCTCAATCAAAAGGAAGAATACCATGCAAGTTATTTACCTTCCAAATATGAAATACATTTGTCAATAAATAAAGGCTGTAAAAGAGTAGAAATCTATTTCAGAACTGGTGACCTTGACCCAACTGAACCATAACTCCATCCAAAGGAGAATGACTCAATTCCATGTTCCTACCAAATATAAAAGACATCTTTCAAAAGAATAATATTAAAACACCTGTAAAAATGTTAAAATCTATTTTTGGCATTGGTGACGTTGGCCTTTACTCACAGGACCCCCAACTAAACCCAAAGGAAGAGGACCTCCCTTGGCATGTTTGTATTAAACATGAAATATATAATCTTAACAATAAAGGCTTAATGAGCAAAAATGTTATAAAAAATCACACCAGTGACCTTGACACTAGAGATCTCTTACTCCATAAAAAATACACGGCCATTAATGGTATCCACCTACCAGATATGGAGGATATCATTAAATAAATGTTTAAGATAAATCAAACTTACCGGAATTGGTTAACCATACAAGGTCCTATTTTCAAAGAGAAAAAAAGGAATATAACTTGAGAAAATGGATGGCAATATCATGAACTTTTTCTAAATAAGTAAGTGTGGAAATTATGAAGCCATAAGTATAGACAGTACTTAAATAAATCCAACTGCCAGCGAGACAATTTGCCCCCTCAGTCAACTAGGCCATCAGACTGCCACCTCAGGCAGCCTGTCTCTTCTGCCATTTTACAGACACAATTGTACTACACTATTTACCGAACAATGCCAATTTTGCAGTTTCCTACAAATAGTAGACAATTGTATAATTATCAATATGTACTTACATAAGATCAGCTAAAATCGAACGCAAAACAATAAACATTTATTTACAAGATGAGTATAATCGCCGCCTACATTGTAGCGCAGTTCCATACATAATAAATTCACTCGCTTTCAAATTGAGAAGGCAGATTTAATTAATATGATACAACAATAAAACTTGAGTTCAACATAAAATTACATCTTGCGACATTTAACGGTAGTGTTGCGACATTTAACGGTAAGGGAAATTCGTGCGACAATTAACGTTAACATTGCGACATTTAACGTCAAATGGTTTTGCGACATTTAGCGGCGGTTGCGACATTTAGCGTCAATGGTGCGACATTTAGCGGCACGTGCGACATTTAGCGGCGTTGCGACATATAACGGCGCCACATACAAATCTTTTTGTCAATTAAATCTAGTCCAATATTTCATCATATATTTGTAACAAAATAGTGTCGTTCTTTTAATTGCAATTCATAAAAGCTACATCGCGTTAATCGGTATCTATTATAAAAATGATTTGGTATATATTTTCCGAAAACTAAGTTTTAATAAAACTTTTTAGCAAAGTTTTGGTCGAGTATTCAATGATAAAGCATTTTCAATTTAAAATGGCATTATGATTGGCGAGGAGCAATTTGTTTAAAATAATACAATGTACAGTACAAAACAAATCCTCTACTATAAGTATTATTTACTATATCTGAGTTAAAAAAGAATTTTATATTTTCAAAAACTGAAAAGTTGAGATTTTCTTTTTGTTGAGTTTTTGTTGAAAATCAAACCAAAACTGATGGCCCGAATACAAATACGTTTTAGACTAGACGGCTTCAAATTTAAAAAAAAAATATATTATCGCTCCATATAAATATTTAAAATGTCTAAATATGGTAAACAAACAGTACCTTGCATTTCAAACCAATTTTTAAACCTGCAATTTAAATTAAGATTCCAATTTTCGTTTATTGAAACAGCAAAACGTATTAAAGATACTGGGTCGATCAACCTTAATTGTAAATAATTTCATTATGTTTGTACTTTTCAGATACCGTTTCATGCGAAAATAACGCTTGAATTATATAAAACAATGCTGTATTGTGTCAAACTAATAGTTGAAACGAGTAAACCATTATATTCTTATACTCGTTAAAATAATTCTTTGTTTGACTTTCGATAAATAATCTCTGCAGAAAAAATGTCAAATTGTAGCTTTTAACATGAACGCTTGAATACTTGAAGACTAGACCTACTTGATTCTTTTACTGAGATAGCTTTCCTAAAGACAATTAAACAGTTTTAAACTGTGAAAAATGATACATAAATTATACTCTAGTTAGTCATCGATTCAAATCGGATTAGACCGAAGTTTGACTGTAGACGCCGTGTATATCTAGTAACGCCGGAATGCGCTTGCGAATAACCCAGAAGTTGTGCAAAAGTAACAGAAATGTGCAATTCTAGATCTATGGCCGAAACAAGGACCACGGAAAGCAAATGAACCATTTTTATAGTGTACTGAATTAGTGAATACGGTTTCCGATTTATTAAAGTTTATACCTTATTAAAATATTTAAGTGTCATTCCTGAGGATGACGACCTGGCTTGCATATTGAATACAATTTACGTCTTTATAATACAAGAGGAAATAGAATGAGTTTAGATTTAATATTTAATTTATTAAGCAAGTTGATACAAAACTAAACAATAAGAAAATCTTAACATTTTGGCTGTGTAAAAAATTTAAAAGGCTATACTAATTCATATATACCACACAAAAATGTTTTAAAAAAATGTTATTATCATTTAAACAAAAGAAGCTCTACAATTCGAATTCTTTTTGGAAATGCTTATGCATTGTTTTGTTGTTTTTTTAGTTTTTTAATATACATGTTTCACAAAAAGTATTGTTTGCCAATGAATAAATCTGATATTTGGCAAGTAACATCAGTTTGTGGACCACAACATAAGTTGTATTAACCATGCCCCTTGAGTCAATATTTACCCCGCCCTTGTGTTCACTTATTTGATATAATAGAGAAGAACGGATTCCCTAAAAATGACCAAAACGACAAAATTGAAAATATTGCAGGCTCGGTTTGCTTGAACCTGTTCATGGACTGTACTGGAATGTGCAAGTTACCGTCCACGCTCCATATAGCACCGGCTCAAGCAGAATTCAACATTTAAACAACAAAATGGTGAAATTTTGAAACACGAATTGATCATGTAGATAAATATAAAAGTAAACCCTATAACTATAACAAAAGTACTCAACGTCCCAAAGGAAGACAGAGCAGCGAGAAAATCACCTACAAGGGCCCGACGAAGCAATGTAGAAGACGAAAATAAAGACAGTTCACAATATCGAATAACATGTGTTTTAACCCATGACTGCATGAGCATTTTGTGACAAATAGCTGTTTTCATTGAAAAGTCTCGCGTTACGAGTTCAAATTGCTATAAAACTATAAAAGCTGTTTCAATGCTAATCAAACTTGGCACAAATGTTGACTTGACCATTGCCTTTGTAACAACATGCTCATCCTTAAATTTCCTGTTACCATGGCAACGAGGGGCATCTTAAAATTGCCCAAAATCACTATTTTGCGTTGATTTTTCCACCAATATTGATTTTCAAAGTGCTGCAACTTCTCAATGGCAAAGGCTTTTCAGCGTTGGTTACACGTTACATTATGATCGACCTGGGGTCATTTTAGCCTCTCACAAGTCCAAAAAAAAATTGGCGATGAGGGGGCTGCTATCCCCCTTCAACCCCCAAACAGAAGGGGGCACACCCCCTTCTGGCAACCCCCTGATGTATCTTTTGGATAGGAGGCGGTGCCGAAAAAGGGGTCGCTTTTTTAAACAACATTTCTCAAACAAACAAAAACGTGTTGGGGGCCTAAATAAGGCATTTTTTTCATCATTTGAGACAACAAAAAAGGGGCGATGAAAAGGCGTTAAAATGCTTGTATATCTGGTAATGGGTTAATGGCAGTCAGACAAGATTTCAATGAAAAAGACAAAAAAATCTGGAAAAGGGGTGATCGCTCGGAAGCATTAATCACAACAAAATAACATGAAAATTGCAGACTCGGTTTGATTGAGTCTGTTTACTTGTAGTGTATGAAGTAGAATTATAATTTACGTTATGTTGGTGGACTTTTACACAATATATTTTGATTAAATTTTGTCAACAAGTCCCAGCATATTAAATAACTATTTGTTTACATGTTTAGTTTCTCCGTTCTGTGAAAAATGGGAACTAATAATTAAAATTACTTTATAATTTGACAGACGCCGTGTATACTTAACCAGAGATGTACATTATTGAAATATCCCTATCAAAAAGTGAAAAATTAGGCATTTGGTAGCAAATAAAACTTAATTATGGATGTACACTTGATCCTTTTATATTATACACCATTTGAAAGTTAAATCTTTTATCTATTGCTGCATGTTAAAATATTTGTAACTTTCTTTGCCTTTCACTTAGAAAATCATAGCAAAACATACCAACTGAGCCAGTTTATTTTTTTTTCGTCAAATGAATAGTTTTGTAGCAAACATTAATAAGTAGTTCTCTTTAAAAATTGACGTATCATTTATTTAAATGGGAACTGTAAATAGTTTACCTGCAGCCATAGACAAATGCTTAAGCTTTCAGAAAATGTATTATTTTACTGATTTTTGATATCTGGTTCATAAGTTTTACTTGCTACAAGTGCACGCGTGATATCTTAACAAGCTAGGAAGTTGCTTATCTCTGTTATCTATGTCTAGGTGTTGATTTATAATAATCGTCACGATTATACCATGATACCATGAAATCGACGTTACAAACGGACAATTTACGCAATTTGTTACTAGTTCAAAAGAATTTAAAATGAAGATACGATATTTTCTGAAAATTAAAATAATGCATCTTTAAAGTCCGCCACGTAAGCATTACGGAGTAACCGGGCTGTTGCCATCACACAGCTTGGGATTTCGGATTTGCAGTGCATGAGTACCGTTAACGTATCGTAAAAGTTGAGAATTGAATTTTCACACAATTGATTAAGGATTCCTATATTGTGCAAGGACATAAAGAAAATCTAATTTTCCGCCGACAAAAAGTCGAGTTCATTCTTACCTGTACGAAATTTTCTGCACGGAAATGAGGCGGAATTCAATGGCAGATTCCGCCCAGAAATTTAAATTCTCCCCCAAATATACAAGTGTTAAACCATTTGCTTTTGGCACGGATTCCGGCCAGATTCCAGGCGGAAACGGGACAGATTCTGGGCGGAATTGGGACGAAATATGCAAATGAGTTGGGGCGGAATTTTGAAGCAGAATCTAGGGGCGGAATTTTGAAGCGGAATCTTGGGGCGGAATTTTGAAGCGGAATCTCGAGGCGGAATTTCGGAATGGAATTTTGGAACGGAATTGTCAAACAAAATTCTGGGCGGAATTCTGGGACAGAATTCATGGAGGCGGAATTTTTATGAGTTTAACATGATCACATTTTTTTGGGATAAAATTATCAATAATGTATCACATTAAATTTTCTTTCACAAAATTTAAAACAATCCTTTAGTCCAAATACAGAATATAATACCATACATTCACTATAACACAAACAGTTTTTTTCTACCTGCAGGTTTTGGTACTGGTTTTCTTAGAATCCAACACTTTGTTTTTTTGCAATTTTTTTGCTGAGAGTGTTTCAATCATAAATTTGTTTCAAATGTTTCTGATTATTTAAATTACTATTTCTTTAATTGATGTCTGTTTTAAGTCCACTGCCTGTGTTTCCAAGAACTTCTTGTGGTTGTGCTCACCTTTAATAATAAAATTAATAATTAATTAAACAAAAATGTAGTAATGAATTATGTTTGATTGCATAATTATATGCAGTTATATTTCATATTTTTTGATAATATCAAATTTTATGTTTCAACAGTATTAAATATTAACAGTGCTTATGCATATTCAAAAATACTAAAGCTTACGCAGTATCTTATTTCAGTGCACAAGTGTTTAAGAATTGCTCTGTATAAGAATTAATTAACTGCTTTATTTGTGACACTATTTATTACTGGTTATGTATTTTTTCAAGGAAAGATGTTGAATAGTAAAGTATTGAGATTTAAAAATATACCTTTTCAGGATTAAAACTGCACATCTTTATTGAAACACCTTGCATCTCACAGTCAGCACTTAACTCCCAGTCTGAAAATATGAGTGTAAAATGTAATTTTAGATTGTTCCATTAGAAACACAACACATACATGTAAAATAATAAATGATTATGATGACCCAGTTCAGCTGTACAAAACTTCTGAATTTGTACCATTAATTCCTATTTAATCAAATTGACTTAATTTGTTTAATTTCCAGGAAATGAAAAAGATCTACTACATGCTATTAATTTATACAATACACACAATCATTATATAGAATCATTGAATAATTTATATTTTACAGTCATTAAACATGTAATAAAGATTTAAAACAATTATCAGAAATAAACAAATGTATGAAGTTGAAAATATAAAAACAACATTGACCTCTTGTTACAAATTTTAGTTTGCGTAACCATTGATAGTTTGATATTAAACTTGTTTCAGCATTAATGTAACTAAAGGTTTATGATTACCTGATTATGTTGTTCATCTCCTTGTCCCATGTTTTCACACTTATTTATCATACCAATACTAAAACACTTTGAGATCTTAAACAAAAGTATATCTCCAAAATTGTTAAAATATCAAATACATCCTCTGTTATTTTGCACTCTTTTTGCTGACCCAGATATCTTAGAATTCAAAATTCACAACTGTATAACTGCATGGACAGGTCAATCATTATGTAAAACAGGGTTAATTTACTCATCATCTCAACCTCCATTCATTGAATGTAACAAAAATTCAAGTAACAACTAGATATATATATAGAATTTAAAAATCATTACAAATTTCTGAACAAAAAAAAAATTGCAATGTCCTAGACAAATTCTGCATATGAAATTTATAATGTTATCTCTCCCCAAAATAATTCAATGGAACAGCCTGATCTGTTGGAATGACCAGTGGAGTAAATTAGTCATGCAAAGAGTTTAAGATGGTGGGAAACTGTTGGTCAGTTGAGTTTTATCAGAGCTCTGATCTGTGTAGTGTAAAATCTCAGTGGATGTATATTGTAGTATTTATTTACCTAAATGAAAGCAATTATTGGGCAGTATTGGCTGATCAATTCTATATAGATTAAAAGGGCATAATATATGAGATTATTTCATGCAATGTTTTTGTTTTGTTTTTGTTTATTTTTTATAACAAAATCATGATTTCTTAGAGTTTAAAATGGCAAGCATCTTGTCCTGTGGCTGTCCTGATATTCAAATTTAAACAGCATTCTTATTTCAATGTTGCTTTTTATAAACTTAAGCATTTTGGAGGTGAATGTTTTCAAGTTCTACACTAAGATTATTACAGTTGTTTTTCAGTACAAAAAAAGATTTGCTAAATTAGTCTGACAATATATCATTTGCCACAATATTTAAAAACATTGTTTAGGTATATTTTAATGTCTAAAAAATAACCCTATTTATTCTAAAAATACATCTGTAATTATTGGTCAAGTATCATGCTTCAACAAAAATAATAAGTACAGTTGGTAAAATTTCAATGTCTGCAAGTGCAAAAACAAGAGTTAACAATTATGATTTAGACATCTTATATGTGAAATTCTGTTCAAGAAAAATGTTTAAGTATAGAATTCCGCCCATAGTGAAGACCATTCCTTCCCAAGAAAATTTCAAAGTTGAAAATTCTGTCCAAGATGAAATGTTTAAGTATAAATTCTGCTCCAAATAAAATTCCAGCCGGAATTTTTCTAGTTTTCCGCCCAGAAAAGTGAACAAAATATTTTTCTTGTGAGACGGAATGACACGGAATTTGCGTTTCCGTTCCTGGTCCGCCCAGAAATCACTGATTCCGTGTCAATTCCGTGCCAATTCCGCCCAGAATCCGTGCCAAAATTTCGTACAGGTACATTTCTTGCAAAATGGCTGAAAACAAAGACTATTCGGAAACTAGAAGTACAAGCTTAGACGCACGAAATCGTAGACAATTTGATAAAATGTCTCCATTTTTCAAGCAGCCCCTTGAAATAGGAGCATTTTCCTTGGATATTTCTAGGAATTTCGATAACTCGAGAAACCAGCTGAAATTCTTCATTAAACCTCAAGATTTACAGAAAGTGGAATTTAATTTGCGGAAAGGTTACCGTAAAATGATAAGAAAAGACGATTCTAAACCCGAATATATTGACAACATATTGAGGTGGATTACAAACAACCCGGATGAGCTTAGTATCAAGGGGACCCATGAAGGAACATCAAGGTAAAACTTTAATGAGACTTTTAGAAGAAAAAAATATAACGCGTGTTCAAAGCTTTTGGCACAAAGAAAATTTTGCTGGTTATTATGTTTTTAACAAAGAAAGTGTGGATGACAAAGCTCTTGGCGGTGTTAATGTATGATATGATTTTAAAGTATGGTATTCTAATATTCTTAAACCGTGAACGAACTTTACTTTCATGTGGATGATTGCAAGGGATGTCTGTCAATATGAGACAACGTTACGATAGCAATAATAAAAAATTTGAATAAAACTGAATTATGGTAATAGTCTTTATATAAAAAAAATATTTGTAAATAAACAAACAAAATTGAATAATTGGATTTTTTTTCAAAACCTAATTCCTACTGTTGAACATTTATTCTAGAGAGCTTTCAAATGCCCCTATATATATTGCCGAAGGAATCTCAAATGCAGAGAAAACATGTTGTACACAATTAGATTTTGGTGGAGAAGATGTTTTTCATTATGCAAGAACATTGTATTATAAAAAAAATGATACATTAATATTAAGAAAATTCAAAGACTAATTAGTCCAATTAATTAGACTTGTCAAAGAGATATCATCATAAATTTTGAACGAGCGATGTCTTTTTCCAAAACGGTTTGACAGTAGAAAAAAACAGCTTGTTAAATGGATCAAATTGTTCACGTTTAATTGATTATCTTAATCATTAGAATTTTCCGGCTTCCGGAAAGGTGTTAGTTGTACAGCATCCAACCAGATCAGAGTCCGTTTGACTAAAAGGCCCACTAACATGATTTCTGGAAAGAAACATCCAGAATGTCATGTGTGGCAATATCATTTATCAGTGTCACGGGCAAACCACAGGTGGCAGTCACCAGCTTAAAAAAATCTAATCTATAGTTAGTGGAATTTTTTATCGGTAAAAGGGTTGCAAAATATGTTCTAGTAATAAGAGTAAGCCTTTTCACACCGTGTATATATTCAGTACCGCAGAAATGTGCAAATAACGATGGAATTGTGCAAAAGTAACGCAGAATTGTGCAATTTAGTGGCTAAAACGGGCACCGTGATAAGTAAATGGACCAATATTTTTTATTGAACACCAAATTGGAAGAAATGAGTTTGCGCATACGGTTGCTGAGACATTATATTTTAAACCTCATCAAAAATATGTCCGTGAAAAAGTTTATTTTTCAAGATTATTCGTGAAAATTACGACCTGACGGCGATTTTAAGTTTCGTTGATACCTTTAATACATTTACGAACATGATGTTTTTATATTCGGCGTACTGGAGACATTTTACAATCTACTCGTGTCATATTACACTTAATTTAGCACATAAAATGTAACTAAGACCATTTTACGAGGTAACGCTGAATTCGTGAATGAAGCACTGAAGAAACGGCGGTTATCTCATTAAAAGAAGCTAAATCTTATTTTACCAGCTTCCTTCTATCAATGTACGACAATGGTAGTTTGATAGATGTCTTAGGTATACAGAATATGAAAAAATAAAGTTTTAAATGTGTTAAATGTACATATTTATTTGACGAAACACAAAAGTCACGCTCAAAACAGTAATCAGGTTGTCTTTCTCACGAATGATCTAGAAAAGTAAACACATTCCTGAAAAAAAAAATGTAATGCTGGTTAAAGTATAATATCCTAGCAGCCGTATGCGCTAATTCAATTCTTTAAATTTGATTTATAATAAAATATTTTGGTTCGTTTACTTACTGTGTTATTTGTTTTGCCAATAGCGTTGCACAGATTATGCGTTACTTTTACGTTAATTGCACATCCCTGCGTTACTGGATATGCACGTTACTGGATATGCACGGTGTTTTCATGTGAATATTTAAAGATCCTGTATGTTGTAATTGAGGATGTATACCACACTTAAATTATGCTTATAAAACAATTTTCAAACATCGAAGAATATGTAAAATATGTACTGCGAATATTTGTACATAATTATATGTAAATTAAAATCATCAAAATATATGCATTCATTTCTTGTTGAAAAAGTTGACTTAGTCTATATAGAAAATATTTTTTTTATTACCTCCCTTTATTTATATGAAATGTTAATTTCGGTAATATCTTTATAAAATATCCTTTTTGGAACTTGCAAAATTGATAAATCTTAATTTGAGCATCATATTTATGATTTAAAGGGTTTTTTTCACTGAGGTTTTTTGACATGACGGGACTGGAAATGAATTTTTGTTATTATTACTCCATTTGATGTAGATCTACTGTATACTAATAACTTATGTGCAAAATTTCAGATCATTAGCGTGCTCCGTTTTTCCAGAATAATAATTATAATAGTGAAAAATGACACAAAATTGAAAAGCGTTTAAACGCTTTTCACTCAAATCGGACTGAGAATAGCACAAACATATGATTTTCAAATTATTTCTTGTATATTTATTGGTTATATCTTATTAATATTTCTGTTTCAAGTACTCATGTTTATCTATGTGAAAAATTAATTTTTTATGTTTCAGGCTTATAAACCTCAGTGGAGTTCCTTTAAAACCATAAAAATGTGTTACAGGATCTTTAAAAGTTAACCTATGTTAAGACTTATGCCAAAAAGATAGCGTTATTATTATAAACTCGATCTTAACAGCTTTACTGTACATGTTACCTCATCTTTTTTCGAAAATGGCAATGAATGCGTGGAATACAATACAGTTCTTTCGGTATTATTCACTAGCTATTTTTAAAAAAACCGGCGGTGTTTATGAACAATCGTGTTCAATTGCAGCACTTTATCAAAGAATTAAATTACTTTGTATAACCCTGTCACTTTAGTTTCAAAAACAATGTGCATTGTCTTCACATAAGCTTCGTTTACGACAAAAACTTCCAAAACACGATAAACAGATCTGGCATTTCGATATTTTGATGGCTTTGTGGCATGAACGACATTACATATAGGTACAGAAACTTGAAATTCTATCAACATTAATGATAATATCCAAAATATACCCCTATACAGTTTATTTATACTGTATCGGGGGTATATTTTGGATATTATCATTAATATTGATAGAATTTCAAGTTCCTGTGATATATAGGTTAATGCGGTAAGGTAGGAATTTTCCTACGTTATCAGCGAATACGGCAGCAGAGATTATGGGTTTTTTTGTGTTGTGTTTTATTTTTTTTTTTATTATTATTTTTTTTTTTTTTTTTTTTTTTTTTTTTTGATTTGTTTGTGTTGTTTGTTTTTCGGGTTTTTTCCATTTAAAGACATCTGAAAACGGTTTTTACGTATCAAAATTTATTGAAAACAGAACAACATGGCTATTTAATTCAGGCAGGAGGCCATTAAAGTCACAGTATGAATAGATCTAGTATAGTTATAAATATGTGTTTGTCTGAGAAATTTTTCTGCGGGACAAGTATGGAACAGAATTAGTGCATTTATTCAAGGATTTACATTACTTGAAAGAAATTTAAGCGATGTGTAAAAAATAATAAACAGTTACTTTTATTTCGCAAAATACTGACTCAAACTGTAAAGATTTTTATTGTTTTTCTAGCGTTACATTAAAAAGTATAATAAATATCTTTCTACAGGCATTCAAATAAAAAGAATAATTAAAATATACGGATTAAAATATACGAGTGACATTAAAAAGGCCGGAATCGAGACAGCCACACGAGAGAACTTTATATACTGTTACGATGATTGTCTACTTCACTGCACCGACATTTGAAAACAGATTTACAAAAAATAATAATGATATAAATGATGAATGAAATTTAAATATTCTATGAATATGGCAATATTGACAATCTCGGCAATATTTTGAACTAAAAAATGAATAATTTTTTTTCACGTGTAAAGGCCGCAATACATTACCCGTAAAACAATTGTGCGTTAATAAATTTGACTACATAACCCAATAAATCTTAAATATTGCATCTTTGATCATCTGTGAATAACTTACATCGGCTTCTTTTTTGTTTTGAAACTGAAAATATTATGGTACCGTAATTACCTGCTTTTTATATAAAAAATGTAAATTTACCGCGGATTTCGTCAAGTTAATTTTTTAACCGTCGTTGCGGACAGATAAGCTGTACCTTTAAAAAATAAATTAGATATTTGAATTAACCAAGTATTTTTCTTCAAAATAAACTTTAAATTTCCAAAATCGGATAATAAATGAAAAAGCTATATGGTATTTTGTAAAGTAGGTATCCGTTGCGAACGGGCATTTACGCTTCGCGCCGGTAAATTATCGATCGATGTACCTTTATCGGGTGCACGACAAGATATTTAAGCATTTATATTAATAATATCTGTCATATTTTGCGGTTCTGATCGGAATATCCGTCCCGAGGTGACCCGCCCATTGGGCGGTAACGAGGCTTGCCGAGTTACCGCCCATGGGCGGGTGACCGAGGGACGGATATTCCGATTCCGAACCGCAAACATATGTCAGATATTTTTTCTTGCATATTCTACCATATTCCATTATATTTTAAATTCTTTATCTTTATTTTCAATGAAAATTTATATCATTAAAACCGTAACTACTTTCATTCAACAGCGTATGAATTACAAAATCATTCATAACGGTAAAATGACGTCATCTTTATCGTGCCATTGTACAGCACGCGACTCATCTGGAACCCCCCATGCCAGATGAAATTTCCGGCATGGGTAAAACTAACGGAAACGCCAGTCTGATATGCAAGAAAAGGTTAACTGGGAGTGTCCGATCCCTGTAATATAAATCCGTGATTTATTCCACCTTGCTTGATGATATCCTAAAGCTTTCCCTTTGTGTATGCTATCAAATGTGCTAGGCGTATTGATTTGACCTAAAATGTGTTTATGTTTAGTCTTGTTATTCATGTAACATAATATCCATATATCAAAAAAGAAAAGAAAAAAAAAGATTTTTGTTATATTGTATAATATGACACTATGACAAAAAAATATTTCTGTTTTTCTTATTTGTTTGTTTGTTTGTTTGTTTGTTTGTTTTAATATATGGATATTACGGTATATTCCATAAATAACAAGACTAAACATATTTTAGGACAAGCACCTTTGTATGCTATAGAACTTTAATTAATTGTCTTTGACACGAATGTTTGTACATGTCGCAGTAGGCCTGTTTCCCGCCTGAGGAAATGAGTTTCGAATGACAACTAAAATGTTAAAAGTTTTAAATTGTATTACAAATAAACAATCTTCGATTTGCAAAAAAAAAACAACAACAAACAAACAAGGACCAATATATAATACTTTGTTTGACATGCCGCAGTGTTTGTATAGTGTACTACAATCTTATACAGTAACCTCCCCTACTTTCGCCGGCATATGATGTAACTGTAAGGGAAGTAACCGTTGTATTTTATTTGTTCTGGTTCCCATTTCAAAATGGCTGAAGAAGACGAGATCATAGAAAATAGAATATCTAATAAATGTACTACATCTACATTAGACACAACAAATCATAGACAATTTGATAAAAAATTTCCATTTTTCAGACAGCCTCATGAAATCGGTTCATTTTCCTTGGACATTTCTAGGAAATTTGAAAATTCGAGAAATCAGCTGAAATTTTTTGTTAAACCTCCAAATTTAGGTAGAGTGAAGTTCAATTTATGTAAAGGTTACAGTACAATGATTAGAAAAGACGAATCTAAAAAAGAATATATTAACGACATTTTAAAATGGATAGCAATAAATATGGATAAGTTTATTATCAAAGGGACCAATGTTGGAAAAACACGGTAAATCTTTCATACAGACCATCTTAGCTTAAGGTCTTCACTGTACCCGTTTATATACTATGACTTGACATGAACGCTGGAGACAAAACCCATAGGGAAAGTCCACCAATTATCTTGCCAGGAATCTAACACTGAAACTAAAGTGAAGGCAATCTGAAGCATACCTTGATAAAACTATGTAATCTGTTGATAAGCCAAGGATGGACACATAAAAAACTTATTATGAACAAAAACTACCAAATAGTTTCGGGCATGTAAAAAAATCAGCACTTGTCCGACATATTGCCAAAATGTTAGACCATGTGATTACGAGATTGACCTTTACGGGCTAATTTGCGCCAGCGGTAAAGAAAACAGAGCCCATGTGCTTCAACAATTTTTATAAATTACTTTTTTAAAGATATCCTGACTGTTGTATTCCCTATAATTTTTTGAAATGTTGTCAACAAAGATGGTCTAAATATAGTACACAACTCTCAGCCAATTATGTCATATGAGGTCTTGCGTAGCTCCTAAATGTCATGGCCGCCTGTAGTCGGCGTAATTGATGTTTCACAGTTAAATAGGCGATTTTAATGACAGTATTACTATTTTGACACTTAAATGGTATAGAACATTTATTAAAATAATAAATTGTTTCATTGCAAAATGCACAAGAATAATTGAGATAAAAATCATAAAGGTTTTTGCAAATGAAAGTGGCATGAATTTCTGTTTGCTAATAAGGCCAAACAGTGTATATTCAGAAATTATAATCCTTATGAGAGGAATGAATATGTCAGAACGGGTGTTCATTGTTTGATATAGTCTCAATATTTTAACTGCAAGACCAACCAATTTTACAAACTGATACTACACAGATGTCTCAGAAGGGCAACCATTGTCCATATAATAAAAAGCCCTAAAGCACAAAATTTGATGGGCTTCTAGGTTTGATATAGCCCAAAATATTTATGAAAATGCGAAGTCTTTTATTGAAGGACTAGGTTTGATATAAAGTTTATTAATATTAAATATTTTCATCACAGATTGCCTTACTAAATTTAATAAATATGTTTGCATTCTTCTGTTGTAGCCAATTGAATACGGACTTTGTTTGCTGGCGAGGGTTGTTGACAAAATTTCTGTGCACACCGTACGAAAATAGGGAAGGTTGGCTGGTTGCAATCACCCTTTTTAATGGCACATATTACTTATGTGAGTTTGAGACAGAGCAGAAAAAAGAACAGAATGCCTCAAGAACTCAAAGAGATGATGAAATGTGTTGCTGGGGTTGGAAGTTTGAGCAATACTTAACTGCTGGTGAGTTTATGACTTTATTTTCTTCAAATAAATGAGCTTTGAGATTAAGATTTCATTACTTTGGAGTCATGAATGTGAGCCTTTCAGAATCACAACGGTGGAGTCATGGGTGTCAGGAGCAACACTTGTGAGTGCCTTGCAGAATCACACAGAAGGTAGTTCAGAAAGCAGACTCCTGATTTTTTTAACACTTGTAGTGCTAGCAGGAGTGTGGGGGGGGGGGGGTGATTTTCCTGTAATTCCAGTATAGAAAGGCATATGAGCTTGCTTATTTGAGCAGTTTGATAAGGCTGTACACCACTGTTAGCTGCTTGCTTTTAATATATTGATTAAAAAATAACTAACTTGGGACAAGTAAAGTAGGGAGAGTACAGTACAGTAGTAGATTGTTTAGCTAAATCTAGCTATAAAGTAGTGTAAAATTAAATCAAAAACAGTTTTGCTAAATCAAGCAGTGTGACACTATATTAATAATTGTTTGTTATAAATCTAATCTAATTATTGTTCAGCTTTTATCTCGAGCATTGTTAAGTTTTATCAAGCAGTGTATAGCTAAATCAAGCATTTATTATACAGTTAGACAAGGAAAGGTATAGGCAGTATTCTATTCTTTCATAATATTATCTGCACAGTTTTCAGCAGTATGGAAAAAATGTAAAATCTTATCATTTTAGATTCCCCTAGCAGTGAACCTGATACAGATACAGCATATAACAACTGTGAAGCTTTCTGTACTGTTGTACGCTCAAGACTAAACTCACATTCATTAGGTGAGAATTCTTTTTAGTATTTTAGCCATTGCATGATTATTTTAAAGTCCAATGTGAATGGTGGGTCAATCGCTTTTTAAAAGAGCTCCACTGAGGTCAAAAAAGCCTTACAATAAAAATTTGAAATTTTTGCTTAGACCAAGACGTTAGTGAATCACTTTTAATGAGAATATCTGCAAAGGATAATAAAGAAATATTCTCAAAATTAAAAGGAAAACCGATTTTTTGTGTGATTCTTAGCTTGATTTGAGTGAAATGCATTGCAACGCTTTTCAGTCTGGGGTCATTTTGCATGATCCTGAAAAAATGGGCAAAAAAGACCCCCCCCCCCTCCCCCCCATTACTCCACTTTAACCTTTACCCTTATATAAGCGTGTTTCGGCGGCTTTTTGCCCCCCCCCCCCCTTTTTTGAGGCCTCAAACAGTGAAAAATGCCCTATTTAGACCCCAAACACTGTTTTTCGTTTGAGAAATGTTGTTATAAAAAGTGACCACTTTTTCGGCGCCGTCCTCCATCCAAATATTACATCAGGGGGTTGCCATAAGGGGGATGTGCCCCCTTCTGTTTGGGGGGTTTGAAGGGGGGGCGGAGTCCCCCCTCATCGCCAAAAAAATTTTGGACATGTGACAGGCTAAAAATGGCCTCAGGTTGCTCTTAGGGTGACTAGTAACCGACGCTGAAAAGCCTTTTACTCTATCTCAATTCATTGAGAAGTTGCAGCACTTTGAAATCAGTTTTGATGTAAAAAAAACAATGCAAAATAGTGATTTTGGCAATTTGGAGACGTCCCCCTGTTGCCATGGTAACAGGAAATTTACCACTGAGCACGCTGTTACAGAGGCTATGGTGTAGTCAACATTTGTGCCAAGTTTCATTAGTATTGAAGCATTTTTCATAGTTTCATAGCAGTTTGAACTTGTTGCAGGAGGCTTTTCAATGAAAACGGCCATTTTTCGCAATATGCTCATGGGGTAAAAGGTAAAACATACAATCTGCATATTACCAAAGTGAGGTTTGTATCCCTTTCTTAAAGCGCAGTCAAAGCATTGCAAGGTCTTTTAGCTAAATTGAAAGTTGAAAGAGGGTGGGCTATTATACTAAGAAATAAATCAGATAAAAGTAAAATCTGACTAAAATTTAGATCTACTTATTTCTTTTATGAAGATCTGAAGATATGTATATGTTTCGCCTTCTTTGTTATTTGCATTTCCTGGGAAAGCTATTTTAAGCCATGCAATCAAACCGGTTTTTACCAAAATCCTATTATATGTGAAAGTTAAACAAATTGTTTATTTTTGTAAGAAAAAAATTGTTTAAAGTAATTTTTAACAAATAACTTGAAAAAATATCTAGTCAATTTTTAATGGGTAAGATTGTTTTGCCAAATTACCTGTCAGCTTTAATGACAATGCCATGTTTGTTCTCGAAATCAGTCATGAAATTTACCTACTCAGGATTGGTTTTACCAGGGTAAAAATTAGAAGCATCATAGCTTTCAAAAATTATAAACGCTCGCCGATGATTGAATGTGTGAATAGTCACCGGAAATAATTATGTATATGTTCACAGCTAAGCGTTATTTAGAGCTGATTTTAATCAGATTGATAAAAATATTGACTTGTTTCGCAATTCCAGTGTACTCAGGAGAAGTGGATGCTGAATATACTGATAATGTGTATGGTAAACACTACATAGAACTTAAAACAACACGAGAAATAACTCATCCAAGACAAAATGTCAACTTTAAAAGGTAAGATTATGGGGATTGTTATTTGGTTGGATTTTAGGTCAAAGCAACACATTGTCATATAATGACCCATAAGCTTTACAAAGAAAGACTGTTTTGAACTCTTCTGTGCATTTATTTTAGACCATGGATGGCAAATTCCAATTGTTTGCATTGTCCAGGTTGTCACATAGCCAGTACATTTACCGACATGTAACATTTTTTCCAGAATTTACTTTATAAGTATCATACGGACAAGTGAAAAATGATACAGACTTATGGACAAGTAAGTCAAAATGGTCAGATTTTGCAGCCATGAGCAGGTTAAGTATAATCAGCAACCTCCTGTAAGAATCAAAAGTCCCTGCCAAGATTCGAACTATCCTTGATGAGGAGTAAGAGTTTCATTGTCAGCAACCTAAACAATTCTTGAAAAGTTATACAAATTTACATGAATTTTTGAAAATGTTATTTAAGTCTTTTGATATTTCAGATTTAAAGTAATAAAATGGTGGGCACAGAGTTTTCTGGTTGGTATACCCGAAATAGTGTGCGGTTACAGGGATGATGATGGCATTGTTCATAGATTGGAATCATTTAACACGATGAAATTACCGGAATTTGCAAAGGTATGCATTATCTTACATCTAGCCTTTGAGTTAAAGTTTAGCACCATGAAATAAATAGAAATTGCTGGGGTATGCCTTCTCTAACCTTTAGTGTTTTAGTATGAAATAAATGGAAAATTGCTGGGGAATGCCTTGTCTAATCTGTAGCCTTTTAGTGAAGTTTTGGCACGATGAAATAAACGGAAACTGCTTGGTTATGCCTTTTCTAACCTCTAGCCTTTTAGTGAGAGTTGAACATCTTGATCCAGTGCTTGTCTAACCTATAGCTTTTTAGTGAAAGTTTAGCACCATTAAATTAATTGAAATTGTTAATAGTGTATGCCTCATTTTACCTCTTACCGATTTAACAAGAGTTTCAACAAAGAGGTACTTTATTAGTTTTGAGTGAATATAGAATACATGTCTCAGTCACTGAGACAATTTGGGACTTTCCAATGCGCAAAAAGTAGTAAGTAACAAATAGGAATGTGCAGGATGGCCTGGCTCTATACTGGTGGCAAAGGCTCTTCACTTTAAGTTCCACCAGGTAAAGGGTTAAAGGTCATCTTGGTATTGGTCATTTTCAACAGCAGTAAAGAATAACACGCTTTAGAAATATTACCATCGGCCTAGTCATTATTGTCATAAAGTATCTTGCATTCACCATTCTAGGTCTTAAAAGTGTAGTAACTTTAGGCCAACTAAATGTTTGATACAAAGTGTTACAATGCTTTTAATACCTTTTGATCATGGTGTAAAATCATGGTATAAATACGCAAGAATTAAGACAGAATTACCCATCATATCACAGTGCCTGTACATTTATTATGGTGTAGAAAAAATGATGATGAAGGAGAATTACTGACTGGTGTTCCATATATTTCAGGATATACGTGATCCTTGGAAACCAAATGTATGTTTCAATTTTCTGGACCAACTGCTTTCGTTTATAAAGTCTACTGTAACAGTTGATAATCATAGGTAACTTTTCTTATTATTTAAGGGTTATAATGATTTTTAATTATAAAGAATAGCCGTAAAGAAGCAATAAAGATTGGATTTAGTTTAAAATTTTACCTTAAAATTAATAAATGATTTTGTGTAGACTGAAAGATGGGCAAGTCCATTTAAGATACTAAACTTGGTAAAGAATAATGATTTTTAACATAAAAACTGTAATGATTTTGCCCTTTGACCCAGTTTTGACCTTTGACCTCTAAGTGTGCCATTGACTGCAGCTATTGTCCTGGATATTGTACACAACTCATTGTTTTTGTGATCGTACACATTTATCTTAAGAAATTTTAAAATTAAAAGATGAAATGTGGCAATGGACTTTGGACTTTTTGCATAACATGTTGTCTCATAATGGTTGATATAATTGCCAAACAATTACAAAATTCTTCAATGATTACAAAATTTTAACATTTGTCTGTGACCTTCACCTTGCTAATACAGACATTGTTTTTAACTTGTGACAAATTATACATGGTTCCACTTTATTTCTTAAACTCTAAATATCTTAAATGGACTTGTCCATCTTTAAATATAATCACATTCACCATTTATAGCAGAAAATTTCAAAATAAGCAAGTGGTGCAGACCATGATCAGATGGCACTGGTTGCCAGGGTAGATTCACTTGTGACAAGCAAGCTTAACATAACATTACAGAACGTTCATTCTCAAAAGCATGAACATTTGATTAAAATTAAAAGTTTAGATTTCTCTGTAATGTGAACTACAGTAAGAGACATTTATTTATTTTTTACTAAATTCATGTGTAGAATTTTTTTTAAGTGAAACTCCTGTACTTACATTATTTGTTACCATGCCTAATACATATTTGATATTTTTTTCCAGAATCGTGTATCTGCTGCAATGGTCGCCTAATGAAAAAGTTTGGTGTAGCAAGCCTCTGAATAACACAGATTATTTATTTCTGCCCGATTGGTACACAAAGGAATGAAAAAAATAAATGATGACTTGATTTTGACTTTATTTTTAATTTATCATGTTCCATAATGACTTTGAATCTGACAATTTTATTTTTTGTGAAATTGTTTTTTACTTCGCATATCTGTTATTTAGAGAAATATTCCCACAGTATCCACAATATTTCCCCGAGAGTGTACAACCAACTCTCCACAGAACTATTTTTCATTAAGAACTCGGGGGTACACTATTTGTGTGAGAAGTGGGGGGGGGGGGTATTTATTCAACTGTTTCGGGCAGAAAACCTAGTTTTCTGACATTTTCCTGTCATGTGTTTTTTGTCAGATCATTGAATGAATAAGCACCAGGCAAAACAAGCCTCTAAATGACTTGGGTGATTATATTTTTTGTAAAATATGCAAAAGTGAAAATGAGTCAAAGCAAGCCTCTAAGTGATTCAGATGATACATATCTGTCATAGTGGTACATCAATCGTGGAAATCTTTTGAAGTCTTAAGTGCCTATTAATTTAAAGGAGCTCCTAATTGACTGATTTTCAAAAGAATTTCTTTATCATCTTGTTTTGTAACTTGCCTTTTATTTATAACTATATCACTTTGTTACATGTTACTGAGAAATGACAGTATGACAATTTCTTGTTTTATATTATTGTGTTCTTCAGCAGCATTGTTTTCATAGGTAGAATCTGTATATGAACATGTAATACAGCATATTTAAACTAATTTTATTTTTTTATGTCAAACAATACTAAGGTGAACAGAGAGAAAAACAAAACTATTAAATTTTGTACTTTATTTTAGCTTTTCTGTCCTGTAATAAAGGTTCAACGCCAATATTTATAAAGCTCAACTATTCAAAGAATAGGGAGAGTATTTGTACTCGACCAGGCCTCGACGTCACAGTTTTGTTAAGTTTTTTCGTGCAACTGGTATATTCAAAATTACTGAAGGAAAAAGGTTAAAACTTAACACACTAATTTGAGTATGTTAGTAGGCCACTGTCCAATAACTAGATCATGGATTTTGACTGAATTATGGCCCTTTTTAACCTTAGAAAATTCTTCATTCTCCCTGCTGTTGTTTTACTATCAAGCACCGAGAATAGTCGAGCACGTTGTACTGCGGACAGCTCTTGTTACACTAGGCCAATATGAAATGGTCCAAACTAACATGGCAGAAACTGGGCTAACGCAAAAAAAAATGGCCCAGAGCATTTGTTAAATCAAGAGGCAGGCTGATATGATGTATTCTATATTGAAGTTATTGAAGAGATTTGAATTTAATTTTATTGTCATTGAATCGGTGATTTTATATTGGCTTCATTGCTTATCATGCAGTAGTCTTAGCCCAATTCAACTGACCTTGGCCAAGAAAAAAAATTCCCACCAAATATGCAGATTTTCCACAACCCTCTCAGACTCATAGGCATTTACAGGTCTAAGCATATTTTATGGAAAATGCCCTTTAAGGCTTTGTATCGGTGGTTTGCCATCAGGAAGAAAAGTTAAAAAAAACCTTAAGTTACCTACCTGAAATTTCCCAATTTAAATGTGGGTTGTAGAAGGAAAAAAAATCACCTGTTGGTACTTCATTACATTTAATGAACCTCAGTATTTAGTTAGTCTGTTCAATATTTATAGACTAACTAGCAGATCTTTATAATGTTATGGCAAGATTAATATCCATGGTCCTGGAACAATCTCTGTATTTACTAAAGATATGTGAATAAAATTCAATCAGTCTGTACTAAACGTTTTTAAATACACTAAAATCTGATCGCTATTTATAACCAAACTGACTTTTCACCAGACATCTTTATGTACAATGTCGACAAGTTCAAGAAGTGGCAGTGTGGCTAAATAGTTAACACATCTGACTAGTAATCTCCGGACCACTAGCAACATGGGTTCAAACCCCGGTTGCAAGCAAACCATTGTTTCTGAAGTAAGTAACTCAAGGGTGTCAACAATAGCTAAAAGCTTTATACACAATCCAACTAAAATAATTTCTGCAAAGACTAACATCGTGCTTAATAGCTTCAATCCAGACATTAGTATAAGATAGCCGGGGGATATCAATTCAATGTTTTTGCATATTTCTTAAATAACTATTTCTAAGTATGCATAAAAACTAAAACAAAAATCAAGAAATGGTTTTTACAGTTTATTTTGGGTCTTTTTTTTTCAAAGGCAATTATCAATGTGACATTTGATAGCATCTGCTTGTTAATCATGATTTATACACAAATGTTACGACAAAACCTAGGCCAAAAAATATCTGTTCCTAGTTTCCTCTATACAGGGAAAAAAGGGGGTGGGGTAAGGAGCTTGGTCAGCTCTCGCCTTAAATGGAATGAAAAAAATCTGCACTATTTTTTTTCTTTTTTCCAAATTTTATGAAAGTGCGTTTAACAGCTTTTTAACAATCTAGGGTTGGGATCTGTCGGTCAAAAACTGGAAACAGACCTTATTTTTTGGCCTAAGTACCTTTAACAGCAAATACAAAATCTGTCTTGTCTAACGATTTCACACGTTAAAATGTATGCAACATAAAACTTTCAAACAATAATCCTGTGTTACTAGTCACAGAATGTACCATCATCAAATATATATACATTTACTCAGACAAAGCTAAACAATACATGTATATTCTCATAACTTTGTACAGTTTAATGAATGAATCAGAAAATATTCAAGAGTAAGTGTGCCGTTTTGATTTCTAAATTAAAACCTGATGTATATAAAACCCACTTTGTCATTTGTTGAACAAAATATTTGTTCTTTATAATTCGTTGAACAAAATATTCATTCTTTACAACACAAGGAATGTGAAATAATCAGCAAATTCAAGGAACCCTCGATTACTCAAACTTTTTTTTCATTGAATGTTATGATTTAGCTTTAAGTTCAATATACTTCAAACAATACTGATTTGTCGACACCAGTACAGAGCCAAGTCAGCATGTACATTCTTGAAGATTACTAAAACTCTATACTGTTACAGGTATTCAATTTCAATATTTTGATACTGAAGTCCCAAAAACTTATAAGACAGCTCTGAATTGAATGCAGGGCAAGTCCATTACACAAATCGTGAGTGTAAGGATTGAAATTCAATTTGAGAATACGATCATTATCGCATTATCATGAAGAATCTGTTTAATCAATAAAGTCTTGCACTTAGCGAAGAAGATACAAGCTTGAATGGTTAAGTTATCGTATACTGACGTGCAAGTAAAAACGAATGAATTTTTTCCCCAAATCTCCAGAGTAAACTACATGTATATTTTTCTTTAATTTGACCTTGTTACCTACCATACTCTTTCACTTCAGCCCCTAGATGGCCTCCATTTTGACCTTTTAACCTAGTTCTTCTAACTTAAAGAAAATTTGTCATCCAAAAAAAGTGTTCTAACTTAATTTTGAAAGAAAAAGACTGATCGGTAATTGGTTAAGAATTTACACATGGGCAGACAGAGGGGACGAAAGTCACATTGTCAGACATCTGATAATCACAATGGCTCACCTCCTAACAACACTAAGGTGAGCTATTAAACAACAAGATTGCATTTGAGAAAAAATGCTATGCCACCGCATTAATTCAATACTAAATAGTAGTGTAGGAACAGATTTTTTTTGTTTCTATACAATTGAAGATTGAAATAATGCATATCTAATTCTTATTATCAGATAAGTAGTTAAATCTATTGTTAACTCAATAAAAGATCAGAGTAGGAATATATCAATGCAGTTGAGTCTAGTGAATTTGGTGGTGAAGGTCCTATTTCACACAGCCTAAATTTCAAGACTGCATCAAAGGACAACATGTAATACACTTTGTCAAAATCTAGGTCAGCTGATATCAAAGTTCATTTTGACACTAGAGGCAAAATTTTAACATCTTTGGTAGAGTACCTATAGATGATATCATTTAACAAATATTAAAGCTCTAAGCCTTGTACCTTCTGACAATAAGATTTTTTTTATTTTTTACTATACGTATATATTGAAAATCAATAACCCCGGGGCTGGGGCAATTTTGACCCCAGGGCTATTATTTGAACAATCTTGCAAGAGGTTCACTTCACGATGTTTCATGCAAAATATCTAACCTCTAGCATTTGTCAATTGCAAGAGGAATTTTTTTTAAAGTTTTTACTATGTAAATATGAGGAAAATCAATTACCCCCCCCCCCCCCGAGGCGGGGCCGATTTTGACCCCAGGGCTTTAATTTGAACAATCTGGGTATAGGTCTATCAGACAATGCCTTATGCAAAATAAGTTCTAGGCCTTTTGGGTCTTTACAAGAAGGTATTTTAAGTTTTCACTATATGTACATATAGTGAAAATCAATGACCCCCGGGGCAGGGCTGATTTTGACCCCAGGGCTATAATTTAAACAAGCTTGGTAAGGGTCTACCAGACAATGCCTTATGCAAAATATCTAACCTCTAGGCCTATGGGTCTTTACAAAAAGTTATTTCAAGTTTTTACTATATGTACATATAGTGAAAATCAATGACCCCCGGGGCGGGGCCGATTTTGACCCCAGGGCTATAATTTGAACAATCTTGGTAAAAGTGTACCATACAATGCCTTATGCAAAATATCTAAGCTCTAGGCCTTTTGGGTCTTTACAAGAAGATTTTTTAAATTTATTCTTATAATTCCTTTTGGTTGCCATGGCAACCAGATTTCTGCATGGAATTAAATTCTTTGAACAACTTTGGAAGCTCTTCACCCAAGGATCAATCCTGCCAAGTTTGGTTGAAATTGGACTAGTGGTTTTTCACAAGAAGATTTTTTAAGTTCACTATATAATCTATATAACACACACACACACACAAACAAACAAACAAACACACACACACACACACACAGGTGAATCGCTATATGCCACCGCATCGCAGATGCTGCGGTGGCATAAAAAGTTACTGACGGTAAAATGTTGGTGTATATAATGTACTGAAGACCCACTGATGATAAATACACGTAAAATCTAAACATGGTTCAAACTAGAATTATATACTCGAAGACATATCACACCATTATGTATGGTTAAATACAATATAAACTATTAATGTGCTTTTTATTTTATACTACACAGGTGTTTATATTTTGAAACAATAGATGTGTTACTATGGTGACAAACTAGGTCATTTAGATTTCAATTAGGAACAAATTCATCTCATTCCCTGGTATTTCCTTTGACACATTTTTCATACTTATATCATTTTTTCAAACTATGTAAAATGAACAGATTTTGTCACAAGAGGGTATGACAAAATGTAAAATATTTGCTAACTTGCCCCCCAATAATTTTATAAAAATTCCAATAACTCTTTATAAAAATTTATATATTAAACAAATCCTTACAAAAGATATTTGTTAATCACTTTTCTATCTATTAATGTGCTTTTATTTTATACTATCTTTTAATCTAAATTTTATGCCAGAAAAGCAGTCTAACCAACAGATACTGAACAAACCCCAACAATGGTCTTACTATAAAAAGAAGGAAAATGTAGTTCAGTATCTTTAACTAAATTGCGTTTAAACCCCCATCCGATGGTGAATATGCATTGTAGGTACTGAAATCATATTTTTCAAAATATCAGTCAATAGCTGTAGCAAGAACAGTGGAAAGAACGGAAGTGCAACCGGAAGTGAATAAGGGCTATTTCTTTCGTTACTCTGTTTCAACATAAGGCTATTGGCTCCTTATTCTATTGTTACAGATTGAACTCTTATTGTTCTCACAGGAAGATGGCCCCCTATTTTCCTTTAGTAGAGTGGATGGACAAACTAGCAAATATTTTTTTTGCCAATTTTTTTTTTCGTGGAACATAAAAATCTTACATAAATTTCCATAATAATCTTACATTAATCATAAAAACGGTTTTTATAGTGATAACATCCATCTATGGACACAAGAAAAAAACCAACAACAAAGCATAACTTAACAATCAATATACAATAAAAAGGTAAATAAAGCATTCATACTGCAAAAGAAACCTATACACAGCACTTGGCAATATAGTGTTAATAACAAAGACAACTTAACACTGGTCATGTGACCGGTCTTATCCTGTGTCAGCACTCCATTCCATACAATGAATTTATATATATATATATACAACTGTGTTCATAATCTTGTTTTAAAAAATAAATAATACAAATTTATAGAACAAAATCATTTCATCTTTGCATGATTGTGTACCTGTCCAGCGGAAAGAAAAAAAAGTTCTGCACTGTACAGGATCAGATGTTAAATTCTGTGAGGAAAATATCAGTACATTACATATAAAATATATAACTGCATGATTTTATTTCTGTTTATCAAAGCCGAAAAAAAAGGATAAAACATTCTTCATGTACAGGATCAGATGTAAAATTCATTCATGAAAATGTTTATCTATAACTCATGTATAATGTAATGTATAAAACATATATACTAATGGACACTTTCTAAGAATTTTTTTTATTTTTCTCTCAATATATTTGAAGGCTGCATACCTCCCATGAGTCAAAATATTTCAAGAAATTCAAACTTGAGAAAATGTACTATGATATTTAGAAAAGTAAAAAGATTTAAGTAATTTTTTATGTAAATAATGGCTGTTTTTATCACCATATTTCTTCTGTATATTTTTTGCATATTTTGACCACTTTTTGGTAATTTACATGGACTGTAAGTGCTGTTTGCAACATGTAAATTACTTTTTTGTTTTCTTTACAATATTTTAATTATAAATACATTTTCAAAATTTTCATGAAAATTAGCATGAATCTTAAGGCATGTTGCTTTAACCTATTAGATATTATTACTTATAAAATGTTGTTGTCAGAAAGAATAGATTCATGGTGTGGAGTGTAACAGACAGACAGATGGACAGACAGACATCTAGTCAGACTCTATCATTCTTAAAATTGAACAAAAAAGCAGTTTAACACTGGAATGGTCTATGAGACACTCAATAAATCCATCTCCCTTAAAATCCCACGAAAATAATTGTCCAAACTAGCCAAGATTTAACCCTTTACCCTACTGAAACCAAAAGTGATAAGCCTTTGCCAACAGTATAGCGCCAGACTCACATCTGTTCAGTCTGACCAGGCTTTATACTAACTTTAATCATATTATCCCTAAATTGATAATGGACAGTTCTATACACAGAAGCTGGACAAGTCCATTTTAAAAAATATAGCAGTACAAGGTTTAAATTACACAGTATAATATAGCTATGAAAATCTTATCAATGCAATAGATTTATTTTTACAAAAAAAAAATCAATTCTGTTTTAAGTCACAAGGAGCTTTTTTTAATATACTGCACAGACCATTTTGAAAGTGCTAAAATCTTGTAAAAGAACTAAATTTCTTTGTAGGAATCATATTTGTAGATTTCAATTAAAATATTGACATTAACTCTTTCTCTCTTCTCAGTCTCAGTTACCAAACCTGATTTTTATGCAGTCATAAACCTAGGAAGATTTCCTTAATATTTTTGAAAGTTTTTAAGTGACATCTTCTTTTCTTTATGTCCATTATTTGTTTGAAAAGGGAGACTTTTTCTCAGCGGATGACATATTCATCCAGACTAAAGTTTGACCTTTTATCACCAATATGGTAACATACTAGCATGAACGTCCCAAAGAGAAGGGCTTATTGAGTGTTTAGCAGAATGTAAGGCGACCAAAATGTCCCTGAATCGACATGTCCACAGCCAGCAATCAGTAAAGTTTTCCTCGTATAACTTCACAGCGCCCCGTTCAACTTCACGGCCCCCGTATAACTTCACAGCCCCCCCGTATAACTTCACAGCTTCACAGCCCCCGTATAACTTCACAGCTGACACTTCTCCCTTCAAGCCACACATGGCAACCATTGTGTACTGTATTACTCGTGATGATCATTATAACATTGGAACATTGCGATACTGATGGTGTAAATTGTAATACATTGTATATGTCCTATATATTCATAATGATTAGCATTGCGAAAATATATTATCACAAAAGATATACAAAAAATTGTAAAAAAACAAAAGGGGTTGGATAATGTCTTCAATTTTTTTTCATTTTAGTCTATCTGAATCAAATAAAAAAGTAATAAAAACACAAAGGGGATCGAAAAAATGTTTTCAATGTACCATTTTAGCTCGACTGAATTTTACCCAAGCAAAGTAAAATAACCACAGCTCTGGTTGTATTTTCTATATCATTCATGGAAATTAAAAAAAAAAAAAGGTTTCACCTTCAGTGCCATGCAATTTTTGACCTAACACCTTAATAGTTTACATGGCAAAAAAACTCGGACCTGTATTTACTCAATGCTGACCTGCATAACTACACGAAACTTTTTTTCTTTTTATATGACTAATCATCAAATGTGTAATAATGTTGTCTCCTGTATAAAATTGGATGATACATATAAATATATATACTGAATGTTGATTGAAGAAGGTTGTCCCTACTCGTCCACCAATGTTATGACGATTGTGATAATTCTAAAAGTGAAGAGTCTTTCACTTGATCTAGTACACTATTAAAATAAGTAGCAGTGTCCACCTCTAGCTCCTGGTATCGCTTTATAAATGGATGCTCCTATGAATAGAGTCAAACAATAACATGTGTTATCAAAACAGTTATCGATAAAATAACAAATTCACCCATTACTTTCCCCATAAAAAATTATAACTTTCCTATGCTAACAAAATATTTTCATGTAAGAAATGATGACCTTAATATTTTAACCAAATTTTTTTCCCCATAAAAATGATAACTTTCATATGTTTACTAAGCACTTTCCTTTCTGATCATATTTCAAATAGAAAATGATAACTTTCCTATGTTAACAAAACATTTTCAAATTGAAAATGATAACCTTTATATGTAAACTAAATACTTTCCCATAAAATGATAACTTTCCTATTTTAACAAAACATTTTCAAATAGACAAGAACTGTCGGAGGACAGTAACGCTCGACTATTCGAAAATTTGTCACAAGGGTGTTTCATTGAGTATAATAATGCTTACCTATATGAATACATAAAATTGTCCGAAAAGGTACAAACTCTTCAAGTTTCAATACATTCCCTTCAGTAAGTATGGAGATACAAGCTTACATGCAAAAACTTAACCAAGAATTCATGAGTCGAAAAAGGGGCATAATTATGCAAAGAAGCAAATCAGAGTTATGGGACTTGTGCTAATCATCTTAAATAATCACAGAGAACAAGTGTGTGAAGTTTCAATCAATTCCCTTCAGTAGATATGGAGATACCAGCTTACATGCAAAAACTTAACCAAGAATTTCTAAGTCGAAAAAGGGGCATAATTATGAAAAAAAAAAACCAGAGTTATGGGACTTGTGCCAATCATCTAAGATAATCACAGAGAACAAGTGTGTGAAGTTTCAATCCATTCCCTTCAGTAGTTATGGAGATACCAGCTTACATACAAAAACTTAACCAAGAATTTCTAAGTCGAAAAAGGGGCATAATTATGAAAAAAAGCAAATCAGAGTTATGGGACTTGTGCCAATCATCTTAGATAATCACAGAGAACAAGTGTGTGAAGTTTCAATCCATTCCCTTCAGTAGTTATGGAGATACCAGCTTACATACAAAAACTTAACCAAGAATTTCTAAGTCGAAAAAGGGGCATAATTATGAAAAAAAGCAAATCAGAGTTATGGGACTTGTGCCAATCATCTTAGATAATCACAGAGAACAAGTGTGTGAAGTTTCAATCCATTCCCTTCAGTAGTTATGGAGATACCAGCTTACATACAAAAACTTAACCAAGAATTTCTAAGTCGAAAAAGGGGCATAATTATGAAAAAAAGCAAATCAGAGTTATGGGACTTGTGCCAATCATCTTAGATAATCACAGAGAACAAGTGTGTGAAGTTTCAATCCATTCCCTTCAGTAGTTATGGAGATACCAGCTTACATACAAAAACTTAACCACAGGGACGCCGACGCCGACGCCGACGCCGACAAATGGGTGACTGCATTAGCTCGATTATTCTGCGAATAGTCGAGCTAAAAATGATAACCTTTTTATGTAAACTAAATACTTTCCCATGAAATGATAACTTTCCTATGTTAACAAAACATTTTCACATAGAAAATGATAACCTTTTATTGTTACTAAATACTTTCCCGTATGAAATGATAACTTTCCTATGTAAACAAAACATTTTCAAATAGAAAATGATAACCTTTTTACATAAACTAAATACTTTCCCATATGAAATGATAACTTTCCAATGTTAACAAAACATTTTCACATAGAAAACGATAACCTTTTTATGTAAACTAAATACTTTCCCATATGAAATGATAACTTTCCTATGTTAACAAAACATTTTCACATAGAAAACGATAACCTTTTTATGTAAACTAAATACTTTCCCATATGAAATGATAACTTTCCTATGTTAACAAAACATTTTCACATAGAAAACGATAACCTTTTTATGTAAACTAAATACTTTCCCATATGAAATGATAACTTTCCTATGTTAACAAAACATTTTCACATAGAAAACGATAACCTTTTTATGTAAACTAAATACTTTCCCATGAAATGATAACTTTCCTATGTTAACAAAACATTTTCAAATAGAAAATGATAACCTTTTTACGTAAACTAAATACTTTCCCATATGAAATGATAACTTTCCAATGTTAACAAAACATTTTCACATAGAAAACGATAACCTTTTTATGTAAACTAAATACTTTCCCATATGAAATGATAACTTTCCTATGTTAACAAAACATTTTTTCATAAGAAATGATAACCCATATGTTAACCGAGAACAGTTTCCTTCCTATAAAACAGATCATGAACATTTGTTTCTTACATAAAAAGATCTTAAATATTTACTTTGTGTCCGAGTTTATTTCAAATTCAACATAATTATCTTGGGCTTTATCTATTGTACAAAAAATATATAAAGTAAGTGAAAAGAATTTCAGACTCACCAATAACTTGTTATATTTTGGCCTTTGTCTTTCTTCTTTAGTCAAACTGAAATAAAAAAAAACGTTTTCTTCTTATACTACACACGTACATGCTTAATTATCAAGATGGTTTTAAAATTCAATTGAACAAAATTTGAGTTGACAAAAACAACAGAAAGTAGTAATTAAACATTTTCATATATAAAACTATGATGATCTTAGGTATAAAGATTTAAAGATATAAAACAATCTATAATATGTATGAGCTATTTATATTTTGTAATAAAGTATTTTCTATAACAGCCACAGTTCTGATAGACCAATGCTATTGATATCATAATCTTTAAATATTGAAAAGAATTCAGCAAAAATTACTATTGAAACTACTGTAAATAACAAAAGAATTCAATCAAAGTTACTAATGGAACCACCTCACAAACCAAGGGTTATAGGTGTGAGCCTCAAGTCACAACCACATTTCCTCATATGACACCAGTACTGGTTAAGAGACTTATTTTGGTTGCCAGAACTCATTTAAACTGCATACAAATTTATAATATGATTTTCACTAACCTAAACATTCTGCTAGCTGAAATGAGATTTTTCATGTACATGTATATACATGTGTTTGGGACTGAGCTATAAACAAAGATGCAAGTGTTTGGTATCAGCAACAGTTACTACCATCTTCAGATTAAGATATAAATAATTGTTTGTACACCTACCATGCACCTAGGAAGTTAAGGAATTCCTCTGAGAATCGTCCCTCTGAGGGGTTGAGCTGCGGTGCGGGACCTTGAACAACTTGAGTTAACTGATCAAAAACACTATTCCATTTGGGGTACGGGAACCTCCCTGTGGCTAACTCCATCTAAAATATCAACAAGATATATTCAAAGCTACGAAAATCTACAAATAAAATCTTTATCAAGTTTTATTAAAAATATGACTGAATTTACAATTCTTCACATTATAATTCTGCCCTGTCATCTACACCGTAATGGATCTTTAAATCAAGGTGATTTCATTGGATAATAAATGTTTCAAGTCAACATAAACTAGAAGGGGTTTCTGTCACAAAAAAATGTCTCCTACGTATGTAATCTAAGTTTGATTTGTGAAAGCCGGACAAGCTTAATGCAGATGGACGGACGGATAACAAAGGCAAAACCAATATGTCTCCCAAAATTTTTTGGAAACATATTGCTTTTGCCTTTCCAAATAATTATATATGTACATTTAACAAACATTTTTCATGTAAAAAAAAATCTAAAATGTTCATACCAACAGTCTGAATCTTGACGTCTGCTTAAACCCTGTTCCTGCTGAAAATCTTAAGCAGACTTACCCATCTTTCAATCTGGACAAAACCATTAATTGCTTTTAGGGGAAATTGCAAAAAAAATACATGAACAGCACTTACCAGGGTGATCCCTAAACTCCATATATCAGATCGTACATCATATCCTCGACTTGAGTGATGAGGATCTATTCTTTCGGGCTGAAATATGAAATTGGCTGAAAATACTTGAAATTGGCTAAAAAATACTTTCTGTTCCAAATACTTGAATTTAAAAAAAAAAAAAAACAAAAATAAAATTAAAGGATACAAAAAATAAAGTTTAAAGGATACAAAAAATAAAGTTTACATGAAACTCAAAGCAATACCTGGTGTGAAAACAACCAAATCTTTTAATCTAATAAATGGAAATCTGGAGGATTGTCACAAAATAAGTATTCTGATCTACAAAGCAATAGGTTCTGTGCAAAATGGTTGATGCTTAGGGTCTGACACATATAAAAAAAAAATCCAGAGAAAGGAGAGTTGGGTTGGTGAAGAAAAGTCCTCTTTTTTTCTTATATAAAACTTAAAAACATGAAATGCCTAACATGCTGTTTTCTTTTATGGTTTATTAAAATTACTTATTGAATATTAAAGAGGGCCATGATGGCCCGGAGGTCGCTCACTGTATATAGGCCCCTGGAGCAGGGCCAGTTTAAACCCCAGGGCTTTTATTTGAACAAACTTGGTAGACACTCACTAGAAGATGTTTCATGCTAAATATCTTAGCTCTAGCTCTTTGGGTTCTTTAAAAGAAGATTTTTTAAGTTTTTACTATATGCATATAGGGAAAATCAATGACCCCCTGGGGCGGGGCCAATTTTGACCCCAGGGCTTTTATTTGAATAAAATTAGTAGACACTCACTAGAAGATGTTTCAAGTCAAATATCTAAGCTCTAGCTCTTTCGGTTTTTTAAAAGAAGATATTTAAAGTTTTTTCTTTTGGTTGCCATGGCAACGAGTTCTGCATGGAATTAAATTCTTTGAACAATTTTTAAAGGTGACCACCAAAGGAACATTCCTGTGAAGTTTGGATGAAATTGGCTCAGTGGTTAATAAGATGTCATTTAAAGTAAAAGTTTACGGACATACGCCGGACGGACGCCAGACGAAAAGCTATCACAAAAGCTCACCCTGTCACTTTGTGACAGGTGAGCTAAAAATGTCATAGAAAAAATTTCAGTTTCAGCTTACCGCCATGTATGGCCTGCATCCGGCGTCCCGACTTTTGGCTATTGAGTCAACCAGCTGACCACTAATGCCAAAATCACATAATTTAATATTTCCTTTTCGGTCCAATAATATATTGGATGGCTTTACATCTGAAATATATAAGATTTTGTTTGTGAAGAATTGAAATGCAACATGTTTTTACTTTTAATAAGAATACAAAGGAAATGTATTCAAGTCAACATTGATTGAATATGTGAGTATGCGGCACTTTGATCAAGCTAACACTTTACACAACCTTGTACATTTAGGAAATTTATGCAGGATTCTGGCCAACTTAGAGCTTCAATGTGGTTTACTGCCATCACAGCTTCCATTAAGGGAAGTTTGGGAGTCTTTTACTCCTTGATTTTGACTTGTGACTTCCAAATTCTAATACTTTTCCTTCTTAACCTATATAATGTGACTTCCAATATCTGAGATATTGCATTTTCTGACTTCTAAATTTTGGAACTTACTGGAAGCCCTGGCCATGATCCGGAGAAAAAAAATAAAAACACCACCACCACCACATAGAGGTCTGAGTGGTTGACCAGCATAAGCCCAGCCTTTACAGGTTGACACTCTAGCAGTTGTGCATTTCAGGGATGCAGTGACAAAGTATTATGAATACTACAGACAAACTGATTTTATGTCTATTTGCAAAAATATGCATACATGTATATTTATAATATTGCAACTGTAACCATTGTTATGTTAATTTTCAATTTCAACAAATATTTTTCTTACCTCTATGGATGATTTTTAACTTTTCCTTTAAATAATTTAAAGCTTTGACAGTCTGAAAAGAAGAGCAATCAAATCATACCTATATATATCATCCTTTATATTGCAAGTAAAATTATTATTCATTAATACATTTTATTTAAAAACATCAGTTTACGTTCCACAATTTTTGCAGACATATGATGACTATAAGCATTTTAGCCAGGATCATACATGTATTGCACAAGTGTAATTATTAGACCTGAATAAGGGTTACAACGACAAATGGAATGTTACTTGATGAAAAAGGTTATGAAAAAATAGCACCCAAATCTTTTTTATAGCCAAAAAATGTTTTGTAACCCTATAGTACAGTATATACAGTCACTACAATTAGTACACCTTTAAACAAGGCAAGTTCATATATCCTAAAATATCTATGTACATAAACGCCATTTTACAAAATTTTATGTATTTAAAACATTCAATTCACAAAATTTAAACACTAAGGGTGTAATATATTTATATATACTCACTGCTACGGTTATTTTGCCTAAGATTTCCTCCGGTATGGAGGACTTTAAGTGACCATATGTAAATTTATAAAACTTGTCTAATGATATGTCCATTAACTCCATACAAATCCAACAATCACCCTGGAAATGGAATTAAAAACAATACAAATAAAAAATGAAATACAAATTCTTAAAATCAACAAAAATAAACTTCAGATCATGTTTTATATAAATTAAAAACTACAATAATAAAGTAAGGAGGCAACCATAAGATTGCAATATATAAATCAGTTAACAGTCGACCTTTTTGAAGAGCACACCATGAAATTGAACAATATATATCTAAGTACTCTAATGAAAATTACCTCTGTTAATAGGGCAACATAAAACTGAACTTAATTTTTAATTATACAACACTATTTTAAGAGCACAACATGAAATCCGAAAATAAATAAAATACTTTGGGACATTGCTTCTTTAAAGGAACCATAAAATATATATATATATACAAACATTTTAAGAATAAAGCACCTAATCTGGAGAGAATTACAATAAGCTTTGAGCTTCCGGTTCAATCCACTTTATCATGATTTTGTATAAATTTTGTGTTTGATGTGTAGTATAATCACTTGATAAAAAATAAATATGTTTTTAACCAACACCTAATCTTTTAGAAGAGGAAACAATAAAATTTCAACAAACATGAATTACCTCTTTAAAGAGGCCACCATTAAACTGCAATAATAAATTTCAATAATGCTTAACTTTTTTGAAAAAGGGACTTTAAAACTACATTATGTATAACTAAACACTTTAAAGGAAACAAGCAAATTCGTTGAATTTATATCCCCCGCCGAGTACTGGTTATTATTAACACAACAACTGAAGACATAAGGCTTTATTTATATTTTAATCATGGCATAAACTGTAATATTCTTTGAACTTGAAGCCTTGTACCTTCAAACAAGAAGAAGTTTTCACTATATACATATAAGGAAAATCTATGACCCCCTGGAGTGGGGCCAATTTTGACCCCAGGGCTAAAATTTGAACAATTTTGGTAGAGGACCTATAGGTTATATCATATATACCAAATATCAAAGCTCTAGGCCTTGTACTTTCAGACAAGATTTTTTTAATTTTGCATTTTTGAAACTCCTTTTCTGGCCCTGTGACCTACTTATGCAACAGGACCGGAACCATTTGATCAACTTTTGCAGGGGACCACCCTAGGATCATTCCTATAAAGTTTGGTTGCTGTGCAGTCATTTATTTCTGAGGAGATGTTGTTTTAAAGAAATTGTTGACGACGCACGACGACGGACGGTGGGGGATCACAATAGCTCACCTAGATGTAAAAACATCTTAATCTCCAGACTTCATTGCCATTTTCAAGGCATCAAGAAGGGATCTCACAATTTTCAAATATTTTTAAATGTTATTGTAACAAATCATTTTAATTCTTCTTTAATAAAAACTAGAAATGTGTCCATAGGACACGGGTGCCCCCACCGCGCCACTGTTCTGTCAATCTTATGACTCTAGGTCAAATATTTTTTGAAAACTAAAAATCTTTTTACTAAGTAAAGGGCAAGAACTTTACAAATACTGAATATATCCCCAAGCAAACCCAAAGTTGAAAATTGCAAATTTATACTACTGTAATTCAAGGGCAATAACTCTAACAAAACTGAAAAAATCCACATGCAAAGTCCCAGGTTCATAGCTTCACAGTGAGGTGAATCATTATTCCTGTAATTTAGTGATAATGATCATTATTCCTGTAAAGTTGGTCGATTCTAACTCAAGCACTCAAGGATCAAATAACAACATAATGAAACAGTTTTTACTAAGTCAAGGGAAATAACTTTACAAATACTGGATAAATCCACAAGCGAAACCCCAGGAACAAACTAAAAATGCTGAGCAACTTTCCAATAAGGTTTAATGACTCTATGTCAAATCCTTTTTGAGTTACATGCGACACATGTTGAAAATTGCAAACATTTTCTAAGTCAAGGGCAATAACTCTTAAAATACTAAATAAATCCAGACGAAAATACCCAGGTGCACAACTACACATGCTGATCAACATTCCTGTAAAGTATCATTGCTTTAGGTCAAATACTTTTTGAGTTACATGCGACACAAGTTGAAAATTGCAAAATTTTACTAAGTCAAGGGCAATAACTCTAAAAATAGTAAAAATATCCGGACGAAAATACCCAGGTGCACATCTACACATACTGATCAACATTCCTGTAAAGTTTCATGACTCTAAGTCAAATACTTTTTGAGTTACATGCGACACAAGTTGAAAATTACAAAATTTTACTAAGGCAAGGGCAATAACTCTAAAAATACTAAAAATATCCAGATGAAAATACCCAGGTGCACAACAACATATACTGATCAACATTCCTGTAAAGTTTCATGACTCTAGGTCAAATACTTTTTGAGTTACATGCGACACAAGTTGAAAATTACAAAATTTTACTAAGTCAAGGGCAATAACTCTAAAAATACTAAAAATATCCAGACGAAAATACCCAGGTGCACAACTTCACATGCTGATCAACATTCCCATAAAGTTTCGTTGAATTCAAGCCATTAGTTGCAGAGAAACTACTCCGGAAACGAAATTCGGACGTTTTACTAAGTCAAGGGCAATAACTCTAAAAATACTAAAAATATCCAGACGAAAATACCCAGGTGCACAACTTCACATGCTGATCAACATTCCCATAAAGTTTTGTTGAATTCCAGCCATTAGTTGCAGAGAACTACTCCGGAAACGAAATTCGGACGTTTTACTAAGTCAAGGGCAATAACTCTAAAAATACTAAAAATATCCAGACGAAAATACCCAGGTGCACAACTTCACATGCTGATCAACATTCCCATAAAGTTTCGTTGAATTCCAGCCATTAGTTGCAGAGAACTACTCCGGAAACGAAATTCGGACGGACGGATGGACGGACGGACGGACGGACAACGCCAAAACTATATCTCCCTCCCGATTCCATCGGCGGGGGATAATTACCACTTTCAAAGAGGCCGGGCACCATAAAATTCCACTATACAAACACTTTGATAATACAACACTTGATCTTTTTGAAGAGAACACCATAAAATTACATAAAACATGAAATACTCTAAGAAAAAGAGGCCACAATAAAATTGCAATATGAAAAATTTTAATATCACTTATTTTTTTTTTTTTAAAAGGGACTATATAACTTCATTATGTAGAGTACACTTTAAAGGAAATTACCTCTTTTAAAGAGGGCACCATAAAACTGCACTTAATTTTAATCATACATCATTACATCTTTTTGAATAGGAAACCATGAAATTTGGAAAAAAAATATACAAACTACTCTATGACATTACCTCTTTAAAGAGGGCACCATAAAATATCACTATACAAACATTTTAATTATACAACACTAATTCTTTACGATGAAGAAACCAAGAAATTCCAAAAATATATATACTACTTTAGAACATTACTTCTTTAAAGAGGGCAGTATAAAATGACAATATACAAACATCTTAATAATACAACACTTAATATAATCTTTTGAAGTGAAAACCAGGGAATTTGCAAAATTATATAAACTACTTTAGGACATTACCTCTTTAAAGAGGGCACCATAAAATTGCACTATATACGGACAGTCATTACTTCTCATCACAGCATCTAGTTCCATCAGCATTTGTCTTTGTTCCTTCTCATCGACCACTGAACGTATCCTCTGTAATGCCAGTGTATATATATATATACATATACCAATAAATTGATTTATCCCTCTCATATCCTCTCTTATATAACAATTTGGCCAGACATCCCAAACAAAACAAAAAAAAAATGAGCCTATACGAGTCTCTTAATTCTCTTTTATTTAGAAACATTCCCTGACCAAATGTAATGATGCCAAAAGAAAAAGCAATAACCTATCATCGTTGATAAGTGAATTGGTTTTTGTTGATTTAAACAAAAGAAAATAAATCACCTTATTGTCTTTGAAACAAGTCAATGTCTATTTTAAACCCCCATGAAATCAATTCTTAATATTCAATTTCTTTGTAAAGAAACAATATCTATTTTACAAAAAATTTAACATTTGCAAACTCGAAAAAAGACCAGTGCAGATTGACATGGTGGGACATGCAAGCACCAAAAGTTTTCAAAGGGATAAATCCTCAACTTAGTTCAATAACCTATATATACAGCTTAAAATAACTTATGGTCTAGGATAACTAAGCTATGACAACTACTTTGATAATTAAAACACTGTAAAAAATAAAGATTTAATTATGTTTCATTCACATCTTTGAATCATACTTGAAAAATGCTCAGATCTAATCAAGGCAACACAATTTTCCATTTTTTTGTGCTGTTCTGCTTTTGTTTTAATTTGTTTTATATGAATTGAAAAAAAACAACAGCTCTACAACCTTGTAAAGATTAATACATGTGACTGCGGCCATTAAGACCGACAAGTAGACAGAAAAAAATGAAGTCATTTATTTCAATGTGGTTTTTATATGGAAGAAAGAGTAAGTTTTAACTTACTTTGACTGACATTATAGTTTCACTTTTCTCATGTAACATTTTATTCACAGTTCCATAATTTCCTCGCCCTATCTCCCCTAGATCCTTTAAATCATCTGCTGTGAAATTATAACTCTGAAAATAAATACATAATTAACATTTCTAACATCTTTTAAAACCATGAAAAATGATCAAAATTCAACCCATTTCCCCCACAGGTTTTAAAATAGACTTGTTCAAACTTCCATAGCTGGGGCAGTCAATTATAAAATTTTGATGAGTCAAGATGAAATACATGTGAAATGCATTGGTCAGACACCAGTCTTAAACCTTATCAAATTTCGCAGATCTGTAGATATATACATGTAGCATAAATAAAGTTTCTACATTCTGGAGGTGTACCTGACAGTAAGAACCTGTTTGTCCAAACAAATCTTATATAACCTTCAGTATAAATAGAACAGTTTTTAACCTATATTCAAAAAAATTCAGCCACCATACAGAAGATGTAAACAAGATCTTCAGGCCTACAAATACCTATATCTTTGAATTCAAACTTTATTCCAGCTATCTTCTGAAACCTTTGTACAACGGACTTGTCCAGTTTTGAATTTGGTACAGTCTATAGCTATTTTTGAGGTTCTCAATATCAAAATACCAATGAATCAAGCAGTCAAAGTACTATTGTAAATGTATATGTACCTTGTCATACTTCATGGATTTGTAGGCTGTTCTCGCCCAATACTGATGGCATCTAGGCTACATATTTTTATTACTACTACTCAAAGAATGATGATCATATGTACAGTATTGTTAATAAATTAAACCACTCTTACCTTATCTTTGACCTGTAGCTTCCCAGATGACTCTAGGCCACCGTGTGAACGTAACCGTTCTCTGAAATTATATATTATACATCAGGATTAAAAAATCTTTAAAGCAACACTGTGACTTTATGAACCTTTCCTGGCTGAAATATGTTTTATTTTATAAATTTATATCATGACAATAAAATACTTTTATTCAAAATTATACCAGCAATGGAAAAGAAGAATATTTTTGATACAACATTGGTGCTCCCTGAAGCTCTTTTGACACTGCCAAACTACAAGGGAAAATGTATGGGTTTTTTTTTTTCAGCACTAAAGACCTTAAAAGCTACCACATCAACCGAGGTTGAAAACCCTGCCACATTATTCCAAAGATATCTGTCAACTAATGAAGGCATTGTGACAAGTAGTTTTAAAATAAAATATCAAGGGCATACCAACAACTCTTTGCTTCTTCTTTCATTTTTCTGAGCACACAAAAAGAAGAAATTAGTGAAATAAATTTTAAGAATTCTTAGTTTAAAAGGGGCATAACTAAAAAAATACTGCTTTCAAAATAAAGCCCCTTGTTTGCACCTTGTCATGATAGGCAAGTATTCCAGATTTCATATTGATTATTTTAAAAATGTTTGCATACTTGGATACATTAAAGGTTTTTCACCATGACAACGACAACTATAGCGCCTCAAATTTTTCTCCTGAACAGACAAGCTAAAAATAGTTTAAGCCGCGTCATGACAAAACCAACGTAATGCATTTGCGACCAGCATAGAACCAGACAAGCCTGCGCATCCGCGCAGTCTGATCAGGATCCATGCTGTTTGCTTACAAACCCTATTACAAGTAGAGAAACTGATAGAGAACAGCATGGATCCTGATCAGACTGCGCAGAGGCGCAGGCTTCTCTGGATTCATGTTGGTCGCAAACCCACTATGTTGGTTTTGTCATGGCGCGGCTCGTTTAGTCTTTATAAAATTGATTCTCCGGTGCTTAGAAAAACTTACATAAATAAAATAAGTAAGGAAATGTATCAATTCTAAGTTATAAAGAAACTTACATCTGTGTCATATATCCAAGCTTTTTGAGAGTGGGTGCCGAGCCGCCATTTTGATTGTCTAATTGTGATTTAAAATTTAACTGAAGCCGGGATCTAATCCCAAGGGAATTATCTGAAAATATAACAATATATATACATGTATATCAAAATGTACAATTCATATAAAGTCAAATCATGATGATGTTAAATTGATGAAAAGTTCACAGAACCAATATTAATGATGAGATTTTTTTAAAAGCAAAATACAACTGTCAAATGACATACTTTAGCATAAAACTTAAAAAGCTTTAACATTTAAGCAAATGCCTAACTTACAAACTTTTTATCTAATAGACTAATAAGCTACAATATTGATATATATCATCACCTTAGTGCAGTAATAGGTTAACTCCTATTGAATTTTAATAAGAGTTAACCTGTTACTGCACTAAGGTGACAACTTAATTATATATTACAACATTTAGTATCCAGGCCTTTTTAACCATCATTTTTAGACTTAATATTAAAATTAGGAAAAAAAATTTACACCATTAAAATTGGGAAAAATGTGGACTTTAGGAAACTACATATCAAATGAGATAAAAACGTAATGTAACAACATTCATGAAACTATAATCTGGTCTCCTGGTTTTTTTCTGCAATTCTAGGAGGAAAAAAAACACAATGTTCAATAATTCGTCAAATTTGGATTTTCACCATTTTTCTTGTTTGGGAAAAAATATACTTTTTGTAGTCATTATAAAAGAGCCATTAAAACGAAGCTGCAGCAAAAAGGCCTGATATCAAGCTATTATACAAAATTGAAATGGAAAAGAATTCATACACTTTGCATAGATATTCTATATAACAGACTGGTTCCAGACAGTCAGAAATGTTAAATTTTGATCTACATGTATACTACAAACTAAACAAAACAACATATTAATTATTCAACAACAACCAAGTTAGAATATGAACACTTTACAAAGACTAGATTAGACATGTAACTGTTATAATTACATCAATACAATACCCTTCACAGATCACAGGCTTATCAGTAATCCTTACAATGGCACTAAATTGACTTATTCCTTACAACATACATGTATTTATGTAATGGACCAGCTGACTTTGATTTTGGAACATTTGATTACAATTTTAAGGGATTTCAATATATCAATTTACTAAAAATGAAGAAAGCATGTTAAGGCTGCACAGAAGTGCAGGCTGTTCTGACTCTGCACTGACAATCATCAATGCAGTTTTTTGATTTTTGGGTGTTTTTCTTTTATTTCTACAAGTAATTGTATTCAAATTTTTAAGAAGAATATTAATGGAGAAATCTTACATGACAGACTTAATGTACATGTATATATGTTTTTAAAAATGAATGTTAAGACAAAGATGATTTCTGTTACCGTAAGATACATGGAGATGTATGCTGTTTCTATATAATTAAAGATGTTATCAGGAACTCAGCAAATGCAGGTTTTTTTCCATCTTACACGTGGGTACAACTACAAATAACCTTTTTCTATTACAGCTAAACGGTACACTACCATTCAAATTTCACAATAGTGAGTTCCAAAGCATTCTTATTTATGTACATGTGAGCTTTTTTTCAATCTTTCGCATAATGATGCCTAAAAAGAGCCTTACATTAAAAGAATTCAACCAAATCATATGAAAAGCTCAAAGCAATTCTAGAATTAATGTGTACAAAGTTTACTATGTTCTTATATAGTGCTGTCATTGCCTCTAACCAATGGTCAACTGGAATAGCTAAATTCTACTTTCAATATCATTATCTACCAAATGCTGTTATTTAAAATAAAAATTGTTCAACAGTTTGTTTTTAAACATACAAAGGGTCAAAAACTCTACTTGGATGTATTTGACAACAAGCTATTCTTTATCGAACCATTATGCATTTTTTTCACTATTTTTTCACTAGTTTTAATTATTAACAGATTGGCGATCCATATCATTGGTTGAAATGCTGTTAAAATTGATAGTATTTTTAGTATGTACATTAAACTATCCTGCTTAACCCTTGGCCAAATCAATTGTTTTTGTTGGCATATCATTTGCCTCACATAAAAATGAAAACCGTGTTGTCATCAGGGACGCAAGTAGGTTGTTCTTACAAAATCCTTTAAATTTGAATGTTAATAATATCCCTAAATACCTAGTGCTGCAAGTTTGAGTTTTAACAACAGAATTTACATGCATGCTATATTGTAAGTGCTACCAAATAACAACACTAAAATAACATACATTCTAAAACATACAACATAATTACAAACTTAAAGTCAAATATGGGTTGAAATTCATTACAGAAACTACAGAAAACTGTCTGGAGTTTACTGATATAAACAAAGTGGTGTACAATTTAAATGAAAAAGAGCCATATTACTTCAACTTTGAAAGAAATATGATAATCTCTTGTTTATAATAACCACTAATTATAGCAATTTTTCCAGACAAAAGTTACTAATTAAAAAATATTTACATCTCTTCATGAATTTATTATTTTATGTTCTAAGTAGAACATCTTTCAAAATGGCAAAACTGCTAAAAGCATACTAAAATTGGGGGGAAAAACAATATACATTGTATGCTTGAAATTTCGTGATTCTATTTAAAAATCATTACTAATTGGATCGGATCGCCACCAGGTTGGCAATACTCAGCTCTAGATATATCATTAACCCATATTTGACAACAAGACATCTATGGCATGCACATGATATAACAAGCTTGAAAATAGTCCTGAAGACTTTGTGGACTTTTTACCTTCCCAACAATTTATTACCTGAAAAGCCCAGATGTCTAACATTGGGAGCACTTTGCACATGTTTCACATGTGAGGCACCCGGAGCAAATGGTTGCCTCGGTTTTCTTGCAAATAATGTAAGGTCATCTTTTCCTACATGTGTCAAATTGTAAACATTAACAGTTTTCATCAAGTTAAGGCAGTAATATAAATAATGCAGAATATTTGTATGTAATGAACAAAGTATTAAAAATTTTCAAGCGTAGTTCACATTTTCGATAAGGCAATCGGTAATTATTAAGGATAACATTTATAATATGCATTTTCAATACCAATTTTAAACAATATTATATTATATATTCTAAAAAGAATATCATATTTTCTAAGTAGAATATATTTCAAAATGGACAACCAAAGTTGTGGGGAAAAACATATACATGCTTGAAAATTTGTGTTTCGTGATTTGATTCACAAATCGTCAGGTCTGAATAATTCATTTAATTGGATCAGATAGCCACCAGGTTGGCAATACTAAGCTCTAAATATATCATTAACTCTCAAACCCTTATTTTGACATGGCAACTAGGGCAAGCAGATCATATAACAAGCATGAAAATAGTCCTGAAGACTTTGTGGACTTTTACCTTCCCAACAATTTATTACCTGAAAAGCCCAGATGTCTAACATTGGGAACACTTTGGACATGTTTCACATGTGAGGCACCCAGAGCAAATGGTTGCCTCGGTTTTCTTGCAAATAATGTAAGGTCATCTTTTCCTACATGTGTCAAATTGTAAACATTAACAGTTTTCATCAAACTTACATGTAGGCAGTAAAATAAATGATACAGAATTTCTTATGTAATGAACAAAGCATTAACATTTTCAAGCATAGTTCACATTTTCGATTTTATCTTTTTGCATAAGGCAATCAGTATACATGTATATTAAGGATAACATTGATAAAGCATTTTCAATACCAGTTTTAAACAATAAACCTAAAACAATGAAAAATGTGCAATTACATATTGCATCCAAAGAAAAAAGGATGTATTTAGATCTCATAAATGACTGACACTTACTGTTACACTTCACTGTCACAAAAAGCCTGACAAAGCATCTAACTACATGTAACAAAAAATTTAACATGTCTAGTAAATTTTAACCATTGCTTGGAATCAAATTATATCATATGTGTTATAATAACTAAACTAAAGTGTATAGACTTAGAGGTACCTGGTACCAGTATATAAATGTTGGTTGTAGTTCACAAAATCATTGTTCAAATTTTTTAATAATAATACTTCCAAAATACCTGTATGAAGGAAATATGTTTGTTTAATATCCTTCAGAGTAAGTGGGACCTGCACAAAAACATTGCTAAACAGTTGAAATACCAGCATATTTTTTGGGTTCCAGAAAATTTTATAACAATCCAAAATATTTCTCATTGAAACTGACACTAAAACAAAACTATATACCATTATCTTAATATAAAACAAGCAAATCTCATCGATAAACATAATAATTTATCAAATTTACATGACCTTAAATGTCATATAAAAGCTAAAAAAAGGAGGTAATCAATGGTCAATGTTTTAACAGTGATTTTTCTCACCTATTAGGGAAGAGACCTCAGCCTCTTGATTTTGGGAAAAATTATTGCTAAAAATACTAATTTGGGAAGTAAAAATGCAGGTTTAAGTTAAGATTTTTGGGAAAACTGCATGATTTTAAAGAAAATTTCAATTGGGAAGAGGCCTTTTATCGGAGTCTGTTATATAACTAAGTAGGAAAATCACTAATGTATTGCCAGCAATTAATGAGTTCACTCAATTTAACACCAGTATTACAACACAGAATTATTAATATGCATTATGATTATATACCATTCATTGACTTTTGTTTTGCTTTTCTGGTATCCACCCTACATGAACTGTCACTGTTAACATTGAAATATAAAAAGTCTTGTACTGGATACACTGTATTTAAATTTTTACTCATGAAATGGAAATTATGCATTAATAACTGATAAAATGAAATGTTATTCAGGCAATATATTGTCACTGCTCTCACTGTTATAACCACAAATGATTGCTACAAAATAATGCTCGTTAATATCGTACATATTGTTGGTGGTACTTTAAATAATGCTTACAACATGAGAAGGGTAGAAAATGCATGGACATGCCAATATCTTTCAGCATTTGGTGTGATATGTTCAATTTGGTAGTAAGAAATGTTTCATAAAATTTGAGAATTGAGAGAGCTCTGGGAATAGATCATACGCCAGCTTAGAAAATTAATTCAGTGAAGATGAAAGATAATTATATTGAAGTAAATATTTGACCTTCACTTAATGAAGCAAGGCCTACACATGTCATATTGTTAGTGACGACAGCTGATGACATAGCCGAAGTTTGGTTGTCTGTCATCACACTTCCTTGTTTGTCTTTGTTTACATGACCATCAAATTTCTGTCATTCAAAATTATTACGTAAACAGCGTTGTTCGCTAAGTAATTATTTCCTATATAAGTGATATATACAGCAATCACTGATAGTATATGACATGACTCATAGAATCCAAAAATAGTGCGACAGAAAGATTTCCGTAAACACGGAGTACCCACCTTGCCCATCGCCAGGCGGTTTTTGAGAATCCGCCATCTTGAATTATCAACGGTAATAAATCTGCTTTAATTCGTTCATCTGTAGAGATTTTGATTTCGGGATCTTGTCCTAAATGTAGAATATTTCTTGGACAATCCGTTTGCTAACTGCCTCTACCGTTAGTACAAATGACTACACTCAGGAGATCATTTCTTCTGGATGACTCATCAATGAAACCTACTCGGGAAAATCCCTTTGACGTCATTAACTCTATGTTGGTCACGAGACCAGCCCGAAAGTAACCGAGCTATATTCCGTTAAGGTACGGTCTCTATATTTTAGGCAAAAGAAAAACTGCTTCGCTTCATATGACTTGAGTAAGAGAATTATGCCTATATTTCACTGACTTTTTCAACATTCTTTGCTAATATTATTGTAGTTATTGTAGAGTTTTATCATATATTCTCAGTAATTTGGAGGACAGTTTTCCCCCATTTTTTGCGAATGTTCAGGATATAAAATTTCTTAGCTTGGTTGTAAAATGGTCAAAACCAAATCATTCATCCATGGCGGAGGATCCGGTTCACACATGTATGACTTCATTTTTCTGCACGAGGAGAGTGATGTGAGAAAAACATATTGACTTTCATTTATATTATGATTGTTTTACGTAAGTATACTGTAAAAACAGCAACAAATAGATTTAAAAACGTCGAATGATTCACTTGCATTTACAAAAGCACGCCACATCGGTATGCAACGCAGATGGGTAAACTAAATTTGTGCCAAATTCATACTTGTTAATACATCATTTTTTTAATAAATAATAAACAATTATGCACACAAATATTTTATCATAGCATACCTAAGACTACCTAAGTTTAATTAACACTAATTTAAATAACATTTTTTCTGGGACTAATAATGTATTTTTCTGTCCCAGATTTGTTGGATGACAGAAATCAGCCCTTTCCGTCAAACTTCGGATAAGATATAAATAATAGCCGAGGAGTTCCTATTTGAGTGGAATATGTGGGTGCATGCGAGCGGTGCAACAGAGGAAGCTGTATATGGAAACCACGGACCCTAATATTGACAATTAAGGTCTGGAACTGAATCAGGCACTGTCAATACAAATACATGCGGTTTTAAGAGATGTGTGGACTGAAAACAATTAATTATTTAATTGAAATTAACATACAACATGTAGGACGTTGTGATTTCAATATCATGTTAAGTTCAACGATAATGATTCCCTAATTACCTGAATACCCTTTTTATATGTTATAAGTGACACTAAGATTTTCGGTTGCAATTGTAATAGAATAATTATAATAAGATTATTTCAACCAGAAGGATGGGAAATTTAAATTCGGCGTTCCCATTGATTAATGCCAAAATTTAAGACAATCATAAAATTGCACTGTACGAATTTTAAGAAAAAAGTCCTAGTTTTCGTGTACGGGATATAACTCCATAAATAAGAATTATTGACCAAGTTTTAGAAAAAATCCTAGGTAATATTTTGAAAGGTTATGAACTATCTTAAGACGAACTTCTTTAAACATTATACAAGAACGAATTCTGGTCAAACAGGCAAACAATATGATTGCGAAAACATATAAGTTGCGTTTTAAGACTACATTACCCGATTTCCTTCAAAATACCGGTGAAAATTAAGTGTTCGCGCTATCAGAACTTTGAGGATGCGTGCGCATCGTATCATCTCTTGGAAAAGCCTGTACCTTATTTTGAACACTGCCAGTCTGTCATGGCCACTCTCAACATTAACATTACAAGTTTTTGCACACTTAAACTTGGACCTAGACAAAATGTCATGTAAGATTCGCCACCTTCATCGGTTTGATTTGATTTATTTCATTAGAAATAAACCGTACGTAAATCTAAAATGTATTAAAATCTATCTAATCTGCAATATTTATCTGCATGTGTAGGCCTGTACAGCACACACGTAATGTTTTGCCAGCAATATTTATAGGCATATCCAAAGGCCATAAAAGCTGCATGCCTCCAGATGAGCCAAAATATTTTAAAAAGATCTAACTTGTCGAGAACAATGTACTGAGATTTTCATAAGAAAAGTAAAGAGCTTCAAGATAAAGGTAATAATTCCCATGTTATATGCGATTTATGTCTGATTTTGCAGTATTTTTCACTACTAACACAGTAAGGGCTATCTATGCATATTTTGACCTTGCTTTTGTAATTTACATTACTTGTATGTGCTGCTTGAGTTCACTTCACAATATTTTTTTAAATACATTTTTAAAAATTAAAAAAAATAGCATGAATCTTGAGGCGTGCTGCTTTAAAATAACAATGTTCAGCAATTTTCAAATAAAATAAGTATTTTGTTTTCTGTATTGTCTCAAAATGAATAATATCCCATTTTAAAATGAAGCATAACCACATGATAAATCGTTAACATTTGCTTTGCCTTAACGGAATTCAACGGTGTTTTACGGAATGTAACGAATAGGGTTCAAGAGGTCATCCAGGTGTGTTTTCATTACACAGAAGAAAGGGAAGTGTTGACACGAAAGTAGTGTAGTAAAATGTGTCGGTAACTAAAGGACTATTAAACGCCTGTGATCATATAGTTTTAGATTTTATAAACATTTTATTTGTGTTGCATTTTTTGTTCATTATGACATTTATAAAATCCGTGTTCTTTTTCGCGCTGGTCGCGAGCTGTTTGAGTGAAGATGCTCAAATTCAGAATAAGACCATCACAGATACTAGTTCAAAGGACAGCACAGATGAAGACTCAGCTCTTCAGAAGGGCATGAGTCCTATTTTCGATATGTACCACAATTTCCTTGATGTAGTGATGTCACAAAATTTTTACGATGCCAAAAGTGCAGCTTTTAGTAAGTATATAGATCTATATATGTAAGGTTCACCTGTGGACACTTTATCGATTTTATAAGGGTGGAGTGATTCTGCTTACCCTTTTTCTGATAATGGAATGCTCCCGATTAGTTTGATGACAAATAATAGGTTTAATTGAATTAATTGATGTATGATAAATGCATACAAATTAAAATATTAATGGACAATACTGTATTGTTATTGTTCCATGCAAAAATATAGATACAGTCATAAAAAAGGTTAAAATGTCTTGCTGAATAATTCTATCTAAATGTAGATCTACTGGTTGTTTTTAATTACATTCTGTAATTTGTTTATTTTATATTATTATTACAATTGTATAATACATGTACAGTATATGTATATTATATACATTCTGTATAAATAACATACAAGTTTGATTGTAAATAATGTTTATTTTTACAAGCAGACTTTAGATATTTAAGTTAATTGTGCTAAATTATTGTACATTTATTATTAACGTATATCCCAGATTTATTGTTAACATATAAATTGACATACATGTGTTCTTTACTAAGATAACAATAAAAACTTGAAAAAAAAAACTTACATAATGGAAGAAAATGACAAAGTACTGAAACTGTTGTGAAACTAATCAGAGACATTTCCATTATTTGTACTGAAAACTTACTATGCTCCTTCTTTTTTCAACCCATAAAAACTATTCACAAGGGTGAAACTTGGTTTTAATTATTATTTAAATGTTAACCCGATCACCCCTGCTCTACCAAAATTTTGTTTGCTGGAGTGTGTTTTGATTGTATAATGTATAATAAAATAGTACAATAAAAATGTTCAAGGGATCATAAGAAATTTTTGATTGACAAATAAAATGATTGTTTTTTTTCTCACTTTCTTGGAAATGGCAATGCCTACACAATTAGTAAGCACAGACTTTCACTAAAACATATCACATTTAAATTTCAGTTAATTTATCATTGCTTTTGACATGATATATTATATACCAGTAGCCTATATTTCTGTTTACTCACTTGTAATGGAAATTATGAATATTACATGACTTTTGTATTTACTATACAGATACTTTTATATGATTATATCTATACCATATAATGTACTAACTTATTATACATATTGAATATTGAAATTTCCAGTAATTGCCCTTTTATTATATTCATGTAAACAGTAATTTGTACACATATATTTCATGGTCTGTTGTTATTTATAGAGGAGATATTTCTGACAGATTCATCTAGGGAATATAATGCAAGTTGCCTGTTACATATAACATCATATTCCAAAAGATAAAATGTCCACATATATTGACTCATTGACAGCTTTTATTTTATTATAGTTACAATGGTCAAAAATGCTTATGTTGTAAATTGTTACCAATATGCATTGTGAAAATATTATATATACATGTATATGATTGTACATGTATATTTAAATTAATTTAATTTTCCTAATTAATGCAGATATCAAATTATCCCGCTTCCTTTTAAGAACAACTGGATAAAGTGGAGCTTAAATGTTAAGTGTTACTTAAAACATTTTCCTGGAAAAAGTTGCTATCTTCTAAGAAATCTGATAATTTAATATTTACATTTATACAAGGCATGTGTGAATTACTTGTTGTATTTTGATATGTTTATTAGTTTGACCAGTGTATGAACTTAACTAGAATATACTGAAGTGTGAGCCAAACAGGATATTGATTCAAAACAGATACACATATGTTGCAATACTGTTTATAAATATAGGTATTTATATCAAAGTTTACTTCTACATCTCTCACCAACTCTGATACAAGTATCATTTAGGTCATAATACCATGGTTCCCATACACTCACTGAAAAAAGCATAGTTTTTTCATTTTAACCAATAGTCTTGGAACGATTGGGAATTCAGAGTGTTTGGCTCTAGCCTGTCCCTTATTTAAGAACAAGGTTACATGATAACCACTATATACAAACACATAAGAAAAATTTGCAAATATTTCTTAATTAAAAATTTTACCCATTTCATGTTAACTAAATGTTGAATTCTCCTTAAGTCCGTGCTAGGGGACGTTGACTGTAGCTTGCACTTATTTGTGGTTAAATCAAACCTAGCTTGCAAAATTTTTAATTTTGCCGTTTAGGATATTCTTTGTGGATTCCTTTTTACTCTATTTCTTCACTGATAATTCCATATACCTTCTCCTTCTTGTACGTACATTGTCACATGTACATTTATATGAGTATAAATGTATATACTTGTATATTTGACTCCTTCTTTCATATTAAAGGTGATTAAATTTGTGATTCTATTTGGGACTTTTGGTAAAATTGATTCATTAGTCCAGGATACCATTTATGTTATAAATAGAAGCAATGAAGATTTGATTAGTGAATCTGTTTAGAAAATGGTTAATGAAATTATATAGAATGCAAAACAGAACTGGATATTTAGCTATTTCGCTGTATAAATTAGCCAATTTTCACTGTTAATTTGAATATACCATACTCTATATCTTCAATGTATAAGCCTAATTCATTTCATGCCTATATTAAACTATATCCCTTTTCACCATTTATTTCTTCAGAGGTATTAGCGAGATTTACCCTGTTCAGATATATCTAATTACACATGTTTGCAATTACTTCCCTGTTTAATTGTATCAAATAACAAACGTGTACATAGCAAATTATCCAGTTAACGTGACATTACCCAGTATGTATACTTGAGATTTGAAATTAGATAGGACGTATGAAAAGTCCACCCCTTAGGCTTCAGTTTTTATAATGCTGTATACATGACTAGACATTCTTTTATCCTAAAGCCAGTATCTGTATTTTTTATCCTATTTGATCTGGAATGATCTTCAAAAAATTTATGTTTTGTTATAAAAGATACAAAATCTACATTTTTCTTGACATGTTGAATGTAGAGTTTATATATTCACAATAATATACAATATCTGTGCATTTTGAAACTTGAACTTGTAATTTCCCAAATTTCTTTTTTATAAGATCTGCCTTTTTTGTGAAACTAAAATCTTCAATGATCTGAAATGACTTTAAAAGTTATTTATGTATAAGCAGTACAAGTAGTATATAGACATGTATATAGTTCTGTCGCATACTAGAGTTTGTCTTTACTTTTTTTTGGAAGGCGACAAATTTAATCACCTTCCTTCCTATATCGTCATTTCGGTCTTCTGCGCATGCATTACACATCCAAGCAGCCTGACCAGGCTCTGTACTGTTGGTATCTCATTTTCTTTTCTATATACATGTAGATGTATATTGAAAGCTCTCAAATTTTAAATTCAAAGCAAGGTTTGGGCTTAAGGTTATAATTGTATACATTTTTACTAGAAAACAGCTTTTTTTATATACATTGTTCAATAGCTTTTTATTAGAAAATATAATAATTATTCTTTTAAGGATCCAGGATATACATATATAATGGAACATAATACTTGAATCTATATTATCTCATGTTTTCCCAACTTGTCAAAGTTGTGTATTTAAAGTTGTGTATTTTAAGTTAATTTTAGGTTAATTTGGCATTGATTTTATCGATAGATTGTCACAGACGTTAGCAATTTTGGAATGTAGGTTTGAATTATCCCACAATTTAGAACAAGAAGTATTTTTCTGTATTAAACAAACATGCAGACTACCTTTGAATGTTTGAATAAAAATTTAATCATATAGGTCATCCTTTTTAAAAATGATAAAAGATTAAAGAGAGCTGTTCTTCAACCTTTTTCATATTGAAATCACTGTGATTTATACTGTACTTGACTGATACAGACCAGGAAACTTAGTGCTAAATACTGATAAACTTTAGCTGTATTTAACTATTTATCAATTTATTTGTACAAGTTTTGTTGAAGAACAATGGGCCACTTTGTATTGTATAATTTATATGACTTGGAAAAACAATTACTAATTGTAAGTCTTAGTCAGTTTTGTTAACTCCTATTGTTGAATATACATAGATATGAATAATACTGAACATTTGTAATGTCGCTTTTCATCGGATAATTGTGATGTTTTTGTATACTTTTATTTACACGGATGCTGTCATAATTTCTGAGAAAGGAAGTTTTCTGTTATTAAGATTCTTGACAGGTTGTATGGCCATATATAAACAGTTGTGCAATATAACCCCTGCTCCCCTACAACTATAATATTATATAATTTAATATTATATTTAAGGTATCATTTACCTTTAGATACCTTATTACTAGAGGAAACTACAGCTTGATATTTATTTTATCTACATATATATATATATAAGGTGGGAGATCAAAGGAAACAAAAATAGCAGCAAGACATCATGTTATATTATATTACTGTGCCATTCAGGTGTGACAATGATATATAAGTTTGTAATATAGTACAGTATTATGGTATCGGTTCATCTTTGACCGCACTTTTGTTCACTTTAATAGGTCGTAAAACCATCTCTCTCCTTTATAGTATATGACCATGAGTAAATATACAACTACGTGAAATTCTCCAAGTATTTAGTCATGAAATCGTGCAGATATAGATATCCTAATATTTATTTTGATGAATATTCCTTTAAAGCTGCGTGCATTGAAGAGCGAAAAAAATCAGACTTTAGAAAAATGTATGAGAATTTAAGAAATATATAATTCACAAGTCATTATAGTGTGATGACATTTTATATGTAAAATAATGACTTGAATTTACTTATGATTTTTAACATCATTTAATTATTTCAACATTTTCATTAGATAGAGAATGGTCTATCTACTCTATATGTGCACATTTTAGGTAATTTATTGAGATTGTTTGGGCCTTATTGTAAGTATAATGCTAAAATTGTAGCTTTAATTACGTTCTTTCTTAATTTGACAATATTATAACTTCTTAAATCATTTTCTCAATTTTCATAGATTTTATCTTGAATCTGAAGGCATGCTGCTTTAAGTTTAAAGTATAGTTTTGTTTTGATAAAAAGACAATGTAAATATTTCAAAATTACTCCCAAGTTATTAAAGTATTGTTACAAATTTAGTTATAATTATATGTAAGTCATATATTCCAATATATTAGTCATATATATTTTAATCAGTTAAACCGCAGGTTTGAAACATATTTTTTTTTGTGTTGATGAAACGTCAGGATCAGATCCCTCCCACCACTACCTAAAAAAAAAGAAGGAAAGAAATCACTACAACCCAAAATTAAAAAATACCAATAAATATATACATGTATGTTGAAAATAGTTTAAAACACAATATATCATTGAAATATCATAATCTAAGCATTGAATAAATGAATAAAATTGCTGGGTCAAGTTCTTCTAAAATTAAACAATTTACCTTACTTAGGTAACATTGCTTTGTTGCTATTTTTTTTTCTTCAAATTTTGGTCCCATACTATAAGCCACCAACAAACACATTTGCTTGTCACTAATTATTATAATTACATGTATTAGATATTAATTTCTTCAAATGAATAATAAATGACTGCCTCAGCCATGTATGGATTACTTTGGATTGTTGTTATATATACAAGTAACTGGTTGCAATGGATTATTTTAGATTGTTGTAACTGGTTGCAATATAGATATCTGGAACTGGGCAAATATGGGTTTTCCCCATCTGATCTCAGAATTATACAAACAAACTTTTATAGTAACATCTTGGTAAATATATCAATAATATAAATAAGTGTAACATATGATAATTGATCTATTGTGAATGGTAGTGCATTGTGAAGATATAATGGTAAAAAGTTTGTTTGTACATGGGGGAGGGGAGTGTGGAAGATGGGAATAAGCTAGATTAACCAATGGGAAAAACCTTGATTTGACAAGTTCCTCATTATATATACATCTGTATATAATATAGAGAAATACCTTGATAAAATTTTGTACACATACAGTTAACATTGTTTTTTAACACAATATTTAATTGTTTGTTTGATTAACCGATAACTTTTTAAGATTTTGCAATAAATACACATCCTTGATTGCAATCTTTTCAATACAGTACATGTATATTATGAAATAATAAATAGTGACACCCTTAAAGCTTATCTGATAAAGAGGAGAAGAATTTTTTAAAAAAAAACAATACAATTTACATTACTGTATTGTCACATAATGTCTGTATTTGCATGTATAAGATTTTTTTCTTCAAAAAAACCCACAGAAGTTAACTTTACTTACTTCATAATAATATTTAAAAACACAGGAGTTAACTTTACTTACATCATTATAATATTTGTGTATAATGTACTATTATGAACTGCAACTTTTTTGCAATATTACATTGTGTAAAAATTTTGAGTTTTCACCAAAAAAAAATGTTCACAGGGTTGTCATGAGGCAAAAAATGCATTATTTTGGCTGCTTGAAAACTTTGAAATCACTCTTTGTTGTATGTAATGAATCCAAAAATATCCACACCTCAGATTCAAAATGAACCTTCTCAGGAAAATTGGCCTCAAATTCAAAATGAACCTTTTCAGGAAAATTCAATTACCAACTTACTTTGAAAAAAAAAGAGAAAAAAAAAAACAATAAAAGTATGATTGTATTGTTTGTGAAATATTAGTCTAACTGTAACTAGGTGCAGATTAGCTGTACAGATTAGATGTAGAAATTGTTTAACTGTCATTATATTGACAGATATGCAGTGTTAACATTTTAAGTGACATGCATGCATGCCAGTTCTACACATGTTCCTGTCTGTCTGGTTTTATAAAGTTAATGTTTTATAATGTTAATGGACACAGTGTTTTTTTTCCCAGGCTAAACATTTCTTGTGTATAGGTATTAAAATTCATGTGCTTCTCCTCTTAAGCTAAATGTAATATCATCACTTACAGTGCTTAAAATTTCTTTAAGTTGACATCATTAAATCTGGACAAAGCCATTTATCATTTTTAGGGAAAATTTGGAAATATAATTAAACTGACTGAATTGCAATCAGTGCAGACCATAATCTGAAGAACTCTAGACTGGTGGCATAGGTAGAATCTTTTGCCACATAGGTAGAATCTGTTACCACACAGGTAGATTCTGTTGCCACATAGGTAGAATATATTGCTACATAGGTAGAATCTGTTACCACATAGGTAGAATATATTGCAACATCGGTAGAATCTGTTACCACATAGGTAGAATATATTGCAACATAGGTAGAATCTGTTACCACATAGGTAGAATCTTTTTGTCACATAGGTAGAATCTGTTGCTGCATAGGTAGAATCTGTTGCTGCATAGGTAGAATATATTGCCACATGTGTAGAACCTTTTGATAGAATCTGTTGCCTGCACATATGTAGAATATATTGCCACATAGGTAGAATCTTTTGCCACATAGGTAAAATCTGTTGCCACAATTAGGTAGAACATATTGCCACATAGGTAGAATCTGTTGCCACATAGAATATATTGCCACATAGGTAGAATCTGTTGCCACATATGTAGACTCTGTTGCCACATAGGTAGAATCTGTTGCCGCGTATGTAGAATTAAATGCCACATAGGTAGAATCTGTTGAATTGAAAATTTACAAACATTTTTCTGTCAATATGGTTCTTTTAGTAATAAGTATAATTGCTATGAACATACTCACAAACCTACAACCTATTGTAGCCGTTTATACTGTAACTCAACATGTCTTAATGTTGTTGTTGTTGTTTTATTTTCAGATGTACATACATTGATAAACATCACCAAGAACAATGATTACGGTCAGATACAATCAAAGTGGCAAGATGTAAGTATGTCTGCAGTCATAAGTATATCTGACACAAGCCTGTGTTCATGTCTCAGACGGTCATTGTACACAAGGGAATGTAGGGGCGGGGATTGGGGGGGGGGGGTACAAGGCTTGGCTTTGTTTTAGCTTTTTTAATGTTGATGTTACATAGGTGGATGGCAGGAAGGCAGAAGGATAGTGGGGTTCAAACTAAGATTATGATTGAAATTTTAAATGGGTTTGGCAAAGTAAAGATTTTTTTTCAATGATGATATCAATGACAAAATTTATTTCTATGTCAGAAATTGAATACCAAAAAAACATATTATACCTCAACATTTTGAAGGAAAGAATGATAGGCTATCCTATTACATGTATACAATTTTTTATCTCTCATTATATATTCCCGGAAAAGAGGGTATTCACTTTAAATTTCATACATATCATAATTGCACGGCGATAACAAAGACCCGTAACTCTAAAATGGACTTTGATGAATTCTTCCCCCTTTTATTTTAAAACTATAGAACATTCCTCCATTGTACTCTTAATACTTTGAAGTGCCAAGAATAGTTACGCACATTGTGTACAACAGCACTTGTTGTTTTTTCGTAGCAAAATAAGTTACCACAAAAGCTACCACAAGTTATTTAAAAAAGTACATTTTGTTGCAAAGATAGCTTAACTAATGCTTGACATTCTGAGCTTACTTGACAAAGAGTAAGTGCTTTTATGTTGGTTAGATTGATGATATATGGTAGTTAACTTCCTAATTATATCAAACATCCGAAATACTTTAAATAGCATCATTTCTATCGAATCATAACAAAGCATCTTTATTAACGTGTATTTACAAGTGTTTATTTATGTAAACATATGCGATACTTGGATGTTGCGGACCTTTCCTAGTTATAATTGGTAGTGCGTAAAGAATTTAAGACTCGGAAAAGGAGGTGGGTTATAATTCAAGCCTCTAATCCACTTCTGGCTATATAAATCAAGAATAATCCTTGCCTTCAATATAACAGGGTATTATAGCTGTATTGAAAGTCTGAATCATTAGGTGCGTGCACTTTCAACTTTAAAATCAAGTATGACCTTCACCTTGGGAATTGTTGCATATCAGTATCTGAATTCTTAATAACTGGCAGAAAATACTAGGAAATCAAGTGTGACCTTCACCTCCGGAGATGGGTTATCTAATGCTCAGGTCTTAGTCCAAAAATAATCAAGTGCTATCAATTTAAACTTTGAAATCAAGTTAGATCTGTCAACTTAGAGCACACTTTGCTATAAGGGTGTAAAGGTTGCTAAAATGATTAGGTATTTGTGAATTTATACATGGAAATCAAGTAGGCGATGGCTGGGTATTGTGACTCTAATATGTGTCAAAATAATGGGGCACCAGCAGCTAAAACTTTAAAATCTGACAAGTAAGATTGTCACTTTGCAGACTGCTGTGTATTTGAGCTGTAATACGTGTGAAAACCCATGAATTAAACATACAGCCCTGTAACCTTGGAAATCACAGATGCTTGGGGGTCAGATCATGCCCCCAATGTGATACGCCCCTGTAAACACTCTATCAAAACTATTTTGATATTTAAACACAAATGGGACATCTATTACAACAATAAAACTGGTTTTCAAACAATTTTTACATATTTCCCATTTGTTTAATGAGGCGTATCACGTTGGGGACAGGATCTGACCCCCAAGTGTCTGTGCTTGAAATCGCAACAAGATAAGTTGGTCATAGTTTTGTTTAGGTGTGGTATTTGAAACTATGTCCAATTCAAGGCAAGGCGGGAGAACTAGCAATTTAAACTTGAAGTTTCTTATCTGAATATTAATAGCTATATTAAGATAAATCTATTCATTTAGGAAGTGCAAGAAAACTTTAAACAAATGGTGTTTTTTTTTGGCCTTTGCAATAAACAAACATTAAAGTTCAAAATCATGATACGAAACACGCACATTTTTTGATTCACTTAAAGATAATGTGATATACTGAATGGCTCTGTTTGTGTTTAGTTACTAATATATGTAAATTATGTATATGTATCTAGATAATTAGTCATGAGTGATTTGATAAATACATTTGTATTCAATAATTTATAGAATGGAAATTTTGTTTTCATCAATTATGCATTAGCTATAAATTTATTTCTAAAAATATAATGGTTGTGTTTTTATGCCCCCCGGGCATATAGTAATTGAACCATTCGTCCATCCGTCTGTCCGTCCGAGCAACCAAATAGGGTTAGGGGGCCATCTAACAGTAAACAGAACAAAAGAGAACAATAGAGTTCATTCAGTAACAATAGAATAAGGGGCCATGGCCCTGTCTATTAAACAAAAGAAAATAACAAAAGAAATGGCCCTTTAGTCCATTTAAGTGGCACATCCGTCCGTCTGTCCGTACGAGGTTAACATAGAACGGCAAGTTGGATTTTTCTTAAGTTCTACCTGTACCAATGGCTTCATAATTTACACACTTACTAATCCATACAAAGTATATGATCTGGGCAAGTTACATAACTATGGCTTCCATTTGCACCAAGTTATGGCCCTTTTCAGCACTTAGAAAATGAATAATGGTTAACCTAAACCGGCAAGTTGGAAATATCTTATGTTCTATCTGAACTAATGGCTTAATAATTTTCACACTTACTTATCAATACAATGTACATGATATTGCCAAGTTATATAAATGTGCCATCCATTTTCCCAGTAATTTCCCTTTTTATCACTTTGAAAATAGGGCCTTGTATGGTTAACCTATTCCGCCAAATTGGATTTATCAAAAAATTTCACCTAATTACTTAATTTATTTAATGATATCTTTCATATTTGGTAGGTGGATACCTTTAACGGTCCTCTAATTTTTTGTGGCATAAGGCGTCTCTAGGTCAAGGTCAAGGTCACTTGTGTAAAAAAATAAATCTAAACATTTTTGCTCATACAGCCTTTATTTTTAAGTTAATGTCTTTCATGTTTATAATAGTCATACCATGGGAGGTCCTCTTCCTTTTCCTTTAGTAAGGGGGTCATTTGGGTCAAGGTCACCAATGTCAAAAATAGAATTTTTACACTTTTACAGGTGTATTAACCTTATTCGATCGACAGATGTCTTGTATATTTTGTAGGAACATAAAATTGAGGTATTCTCATTTGGATGGAGGTAGGGGTCAGTTTGGTCAAGGTCACCAGTGCTAAAAATAGATTTTTACACTTTTGCTCATACAGCCTTTATTTATTGACAGATTTGTATTATAATTGGTAGGAAGATAACTTACATGGTATTCTTCCTTTGGATGGAGTTAGGGGTCAGTTGGGTTAAGGTCAACAGTGCTAAAAGTAAATTTTTACACTTTTGGCATTTGTGTTTATCAAACACATATTCTTGTTTTGTATTAAGTCTGTTTTTTCACTTTTTGGCGAGAACACTCGGGTAATAGATATGGTTTTTAATACTTTCCAACTTCTGATTAGTCTTTTCTCCTTTAGATTTTGTTTAGGTGCAGCTTTTGAGACTGTCAATTACAAATTTAAAGAAAATTTGAAAAATACTAGTATACTATGTACCCAGTGGATGTACATTTGTACAGTAATAATGGGCCTCCCTAGTAATTAGGGCCAGTGCACATATAGTTTTAGTATTTGACTATATTAAATCCATTTTAAATTAAATAATGTCCCTTTAAGTAATTTCTAGTGCTGTTCATTAAACATTAAAGACGGTAACATGATGTCATGTTTTGGCCAGTTAAAATGTTGCTTATTCCACAAAAACTCTTGTGTCTTTGGCTTTTTTTTTCAGTAATCCAGTAATGATGATCTCTAAAAGAGAGAAGCAACTATTGATGTACGCTTAATGTAGTTACTGTAAATCTGGTATTTTTCGCGATGTTTTAATTTTCGCTATTATTCGCAAATCAGCCGCATCACGAATTGATGATGCCGTGTAAATTTTTTATCATAACATACATTATTAAAAAAATAAATCTGATGACAATTTTTTTCGAATTGTGATTAAGTTTTATAATGAATACAATAACTGAGTGCAAATAATTAATATGTGCAATGTTTTATTTACATCATAATAAAGATATGAAGGTTAAAAATTTTTTCCATTCCTTTTTCCTCATGAATACATGCATGTAAAACACAAAAAGAGACAATATCCACAAATTTTGCACTTTACAGACAAATAGATTTACTGTAAAACAGTGATTAACGGACAATTTTCATATGGTAGATTAAGTATTATAAACAAGTATATAACACCTTCTTACAAACATTTAACGTTTTATCAAACACGCTATTTGCAAACAAAAAACAAATTTGACAAATGGTTAGAAAAACCGTTCATATTAAGTCAATTACATGTATGTACATTTTGTATATAAAATAAATAAATATAAAAACCCTCTCTTATTAACACCATTAACATTTACCTTGCATAAGAGCGACACAGTATAGGAATTAACTTCAACCTACCCTGTTACATTGCGGAAATAAAATTCAAATAATCGCGAATATTAATTTCTGACCCGGCCATCGCGAATACATGAATCTGCGAAATAATCCGGGGATGGGGTTTTCGCAAAATAATGATCACGCGAATATAAAGTGATTTACAGTACCATGTTTATCAAATACCCGTGCGACTCTGTAAAAACATAATTGCACAGCCCATGTGACGTCATTTGCGTTATAAAACAAATTGGAAAGACACACTAAATGTTAGTGTGACACTTTAGGCACATCAATGAAAAAGTTTTTCATTATTACTGTAAACAGTTCTTATTTTGGTGTGATAAAAAGAATATATTCTATAACTTCATATTATTAACTAAATTTATTGAACCTACACTCATTAAATATCCTGTATTTATTTGCAGTTAGTGTCAACATTTGGAGGTTACGCAGGATGCATCATTGTTGGTCTGTTGTTTATTGTGTTTATGCCAATAGTAGGTATGATCTACTGTTGCTGTCACTGTTGCTGCAACAAATGTGGCGGCACAAAAGAGATGATGGACCCCCCACGTGCTTCCTGTAAGAGGTGGACATACACAGTTCTTCTGCTTATATTCGCAACTCTTATGTTGTAAGTAATTTTCGCTTATGCCAGGCTATTTTGACTTTTGTATGGTTATTTTCAACACCAAATCCGAAAATGGTGCACTGTAAAAGTTTTCTGTTATTACTAATTTACCTAAATTACCCAACCACTGATTGATATATGAAGGTTACTTGTTACAGATGTCTGATCATTTTGATTCAAATGAACATTTATAGATTTCTATTGAAAGATAAAGTATGCTGTTTATAGTCAACTAAGAAAACTAAGATATTAGATGTTTCATGGGCATGTGGATCTGGTTTATTTTTGACCGAAAATAAAACATGACTGACAATGTCATTAGATATCATAGTTGGATATCAAATTCACTGTTGATTCACATGTAACATAACATGTAATCTACCATGGGTTTAATGAATCAAATTGCGTGGATATACAGCAACTTGTGCATAAAATATCGACCAATGAAATGGCGTTTAGCAAAATTTATATTGTTTGACAGCAAAGGTAAACAACAATCAGAATCAAAATAGCAGCGCCCATGGTGTAAATCTATCATATGTCTTGACAATATAAAAGGCAAAACTATCCCCAAACTGAATTATTTAACAAGTAGAGAACACAATAGACATATTTTTTCTAGAATTAATGTTTCACAAACCAGATTTTTGATTGGTTTAATCGCCTCATCAAATTGTGATGCAAGCAATTAAAAAGCTGTCTTTGACACGCCTCTACAAGACGGGATATTGACGAAAAAATCCCACGGCTGATCAATGGTTTGGCCATGGCCACAGCTGATCAATGGTTTGGCCATGGCCACGGCTGATTAATGGTTTGGCCAATGGGTATTCGATGATGTTAGATATTTATATAGAAAAAACAATATTAATTAAACATTATTATTAATTTTAATGTGAATTTTTATGCTCCCCGAAAAAATTTCGGGGGAGCATATAGTCGCCGCCTTGTCCGTCCGTCCGTCTTTCCGTCCGTCCGTCCCCTTTTCTTGTCCGGGACATAACTTTGTAACAACAAGAGGTATCAACATGAAACTTTGTAGGTAGATAGATCTCATTGAGTAGAAGTGCAGTGCACAAGAACCGTAACTCTGTCTTGCCTAATTTTTGAATTATTCCCCTTTGTTTATTTTTACACTTTGAACTTTGTCCGGGACATAACTCTAAAAGTATAAGAGGTATCAACATGAAACTTTGTAGGTAGATAGATCTCATTGAGTAGAAGTGCAGTGCACAAGAACCATAACTCTGTCTTGCCTAATTTTTGAATTATTCCCCTTTGTTTATTTTTACACTTTGAACTTTGTCCTGGACATAACTCTAAAAGTATAAGAGGTATCAACATGAAACTTTGTAGGTAGATAGATCTCATTGAGTAGAAGTGCAGTGCACAAGAACCGTAACTCTGCCTTGCCTAATTTTTGAATTATCCCCCTTTGTTTATTTTACACTTTGAACTTTGTCCGGGACATAACTCTAAAAGTATAAGAGGTATCAACATGAAACTTTGTAGGCAGATAGATCTCATTGAGTAGGTGTGCAGTGCACAAGAACCGTAACTGCCTTGCCTAATTTTTGAATTATCCCCCTTTGTTTATTTTACACTTTGAAATTTGTCCTGGACATAACTCTAAAAGTATAAGAGGTATCAACATGAAACTTTGTAGGTAGATAGATCTTATTGAGTAGGTGTGCAGTGCACAAGAACCGTAACTCTGCCTTGTTTAATCTTTGAATTATCCCCCTTTGTTTTACATTTTGAACTTTGTCCGGGACATAACTCTAAAAGTATAAGAGGTATCAACATGAAACTTTGAAGGTAGATTGATCTCATTGAGTAGAAGTGCAGTGCACAAGAACTGTAACTCTACCTTGTTTTTAATTATCCCCCTTTGTTTATTTTTACACTTTTAACTTTGTCCGGGACATAACTCTTAATGTATAAGAGATATCAACATGAAACTTTGTAGGTAGATAGATCTCATTGAGTAAGTTTGCAGTGCACAAGAACTGTAACACTGTCTTGCCTACTTTTGGAGTTATTGCCCTTTGTTCATTTTGACACTTTGAACTTTGTCTGGGACATTACTCTAAAATTATAAGAGATATCAACATGAAACTTTGTAGATAGATAGGTCTCATTGGGTGGAAGTGCAGTGCTTAAGAATCATTACTCTGCCTTGCCTTATTTTGAAGTAATTGCCCTTTGTTTATTTTTACTTTTTGACTTTTGTCCTGGACATTATTTTAAAACTATTAGAGATATCAACATGAAATTTTGTAGGTAGCTAGATATAATTGGATAGAACTGCAACGCTTAAAGAACCTAAACAAAGCCTGGTCTAATTTTGGAGTTATTGCCCTTTGTTTATTTTTTTTATACTTTCCTGTGTCCAGAACCTTCTTGGGGAGCATCACCCGGTTCAACCGGTTCTTGTTTATTAAAGCTGCATGCTAATTTTCCTGAAAGTTTTTAAAATGTATGTCAAAGTAAAAAAAATATTGTGAATTGAACCAAGAAAGTAATTTACACATTGCAAATGGCACTTACAATCCATGTAAATAATCAAAAGGAAGACAAAATATGCAAAGATAGCCCTGATTGTATACTCAGTAGAATCTTTTTACTTTTCTTAAAATCTTGATTTTCTTGAAATATTTTGGCTCATCTAAAGCCATGCAGTTTTAATATTTTAGATGATTAAAATAGTTGAGTATGTTGTATTGTCTGACAACCTTTGTTTGGTTTGGAATAATTTATTGTAAATCATGACATAGCAAATTTAATGCATTTTTTTGCACTGAAAAGTTATAGAATCTGAAATCTTAAAATATGATAGATGATCAATTAACTTAAAGAATTAGCACCCAGCTGGACAGTTTTTCTTGAATATCTATCATATGTTGTTTTTTTTAAAAGTTATGTCAAACCTATTTACCAATCCACTTGCCTTACCATGGCATTTCTCGTACCCTTTTTCAGAGCTGGTGGTATAGTCACTTTCCTTGGATCAGAGTTACTTCACAAATCACTGAGGAATGATGATGGCAAAGGTCTTGTTGGCAAAATGGACGATAGCCTTGGACATCTCGAGAAATTCACAAGTGACACAATCAATGTGGGTACCTCAATTATTTTCCTTAACCCTTCTCCTTAAATGTCAATTTTTGAAATTCAGGGGGTTAAAGGGTAAAGTACATTTGTTGCTGCAGTTATCGACAGCCTTTGTCGACAAATAAAGAGCCAGGTCAGCTTTTATAATAATGTGCAGTCTGACCAGATTCTAGACTGTAACTTGTTCTTACTCAATATATGAATACTGAATTATACCATGGATAAAATAGTTTAAATCATTACAAAATTTAGAAAATTTAGCATGCTCTAAGGGTAAATCCGGGGCGTCCGTGGCCGAATGGTTAAGGTTGTTGACTTCAAACCACTTGCCCCTCACCGCTGTGTATTTGAATCTCGACAGAGACTTCTGGATTCTTTCATATGAGGAAGCTATCCAGCTAGCTTACGGAACATTGATGGTTCTACTCAGGTGCCTGTTTGTTTTGAAATAATGCACGGAAGGGCACCTGAGGTCTTCCTCCACTAGTAAAGCTGGAACGTCGCCATATGTGTCGGTGTGACAAAAAAAACAACAATTAAAACAATTTTTTTTTAAAAAAACTAAGAGTAAATAAATGCATTTGTTTCAACAGTTTTTAAAAGAACAATATCTTGGAAGTTTTTAGACTGAAGGGTGGTTTTCATTCAGTTTTAGCTCTAGGAAAACAGTTTGAAGATAGAAACTTGTGCACTTATGCCTTGCTTATTCAATATTGACTAAATTTAGGTATAAGAGGGCAGAAAAATGAAAATGATCTGGTCTTATTTCCATCACTGATTGGTTAAAGTTGATGGCTTGAAACCACTTGTCCTTCACCGCTGTGGGCTCATCCAGCTAGCTCACAGAACGCCAGTTGTAACTCAGGTGACAGTGTGTGCTTGAAATAATGCATGGAGGGGCACCTAAGGTCTTCCTACACAAGTTAAGCTGGAAAGTCAACCATATGACCTGTTCTGTATTGGTGTAACGTAAAAACCCAACCAAAAGAGGGAGAAAATTCTTACCTTAGAAGAATCTCCAGTTGAGTTTTTAGCATGAGCTTGATGCCATAAAGTTAAGCAAGTTTTCTTCAGATTTTCTTAGTAGCATTTTTTTTATAGTTAATAGTAAAATTGTATTAATATATTGTTCCTAGTATTGGCTGCTAATTAGGTGTCAGCTGGCAATAAAAAAACAACATTCAATCAACTTCTGGGTGTCAGTTATCTCAAACTTTTGTTTGTGTGTATCTTAGATGAGCCTTTATTTCTAGTACTGTTTTAGTCAATTTGAACTTTGTCTGTTATGTTTCCCCATTGTGGTTAAACCCTTTTTTGGGGACCTAGACAGTAGACATGTGTGTTAAGTTATACCAAAAATCTGCTTCCTTAATGGGTGTCATTACTTGTAATCACACCAGTGTAGATTGTGAAAGTCAAAGGCCTGTAAAAGGGAACATATTCAGTAACAATTTCATAGACTTTGATAAATTTCCGTGACTTAAATATTTTACTCAAGAATGAGAATAAAGTAACATAAAGAACTCCAATTATGGATATATTCTTCCTATATTTCAGGACATTGTACATGAAGCTAGGGAAAAGATTATTAACACTGGACTTCCAAAGATTTTTTCACATATCAAAGGTGAGTGTCTACAGAGTAATAACACTTAAGTTTTGTTGGAAAATTACAATTTGTTGCATAATAATTGTTAGATTTGCACATATTTTTGGTTAAAATATACAACAGTTGTATACAACAGTTGTGACTGGTTTAGATATTTAATAAACACAGCATTGCCTTGTGGTCCTTCACTTTTAAGCAGGCCTTTGTTTTAAAAATTGGTGCCACCCATGGGTGTCACTTTCTTACTTTAACTAATGAAAAAACATTTTTAAATATTCTTGTATGAAACTTTGAGACCAACAATTTAGGAATTGATGTATTGTTGATTTTGTGTTAGTTTTTTGAGAAAAGTAACTGTTAATGATATCGTTAGATATGTTCAATCGTTTATTATTTATGATGTTTTATTCAACTCTTTCAATAGCTTAGGTATTGAATCCGCACACATTATATTCTGTATTTAATAATTTTGTCAATGCCTTGTGTAAGCCTGCTAGCCATAAAAAAACACATCCCATGGGAGACCGTTGCATACCAAGACCAGACTGCACATTCGTGCCATCTGATCATTAACTGCACAGAATGTTTGCTATTCAGTCGGTACATGACATGTATCATGAAAATTTCCCCACAAATGATGAATGGTTTGGTCTTGATTGAAAGGTGTATAAGTCCATTAACAGATATTTTATATGCAAATTTGGTTTTTGGAAAAACTGATAATTACTATACAGTCTCAAATCTTTTGAATACACACAGAGAAAATATGTTACGTTTTAATCTCTGTTATAAGGAATGCAACTTCCCAGACATAGTTAATACATTCACTTGTTCAAATTGGATATATTCTGGAAGAATTTACTCGTTTTCAATAAATTTCTGTAATAAAAGTATGTTACCAGAAGATGAGCATAGTACCAGCATAGTACCACCTGATGACCAGCATACTACCGGTATATCTTTAATATATTCAGCGTGGAGTACATGCCTTTAAGCAGTGCAATGTAGGGCCTTCAAGCGAAGAAGAATACGCAATTCTTGAAAATTGATTTGAACACTGATTTAGGATTGATTAGTTGATTATTTTGATATATAATGTAATATATTCTGATATATTAGTTATAACAATTTAGATGTTTAATTATAAATCAGATGCAGCTAATACTACAGTTAAAAAAGTGAAGGACAGTATCAATGCAACAGATCTTTTAATGAAGGCTGGCAACCTTGGAAATGGTAAGTAGTGCTTAATACTGAAATTTTACGAACATGTACTTTTGCAGGCATTAATTGTTACAGTTCTGGCAAAAACATAAACATTTTCATATGTAGGAAGATTAGGAAAAGTATTTACTAGGCAGTAGGAAATTGATCCATTAAGTTCTTTGGATGACTCTTTATTCAAGAAAAAGAAATCCTTTAAAGGTCAGGGGTCAAGGTCATCACAAAAGTTAAGTCTGAAAAAGTCTTTTACCCACATTAGCTATACTTATAAGGAGGTTTGTGTACAACTAAGGTCAAATGAGCAAAAGGTCAAGGCTAAATTATTTCAAAGAACAGGAGTGAAATATATATCTATATCTCATTGTTTGTCCCCTGTGAAGTATTATTTTATTTCCGATTTCTGGGCATAGAAAAGTTAACATAAGTTAACTGCTTGTTGTCCCCCGCCTTTTCGAAGAAAAAAGGGGGATATAGAAATAGGCTCCATCCGTCCGTCTGTCCGTCCGTCTGTCCGTCCGTCCGTCCGTCCTTCCGTCCGTCATAACTTTATCATTTATCAAAGGAATTTGAAATTACTTGGCACAAATGTTTGTTATAATAAGACGATGTGTCATGCGCAACAAACAAACCCTTACCTTCAGTGTCAAAGTCGTACTTGCTCATTCAAGGTTAACATTGTCTATTTGAGGGTATATGTCGTGTCCGGTCCATAACTTTCTTATCTATGAAGAGATTTTGTAAATACTTGCCATAATTGTTCACAATAATCAGCCGATGTGTCATGCGCAAAATCCAGTCACCTACGTTCAAGGTCAAGGTCACACTTGGAGGTCAAATATTAACATTGTCTGTTACAGGGTATATTTGGTGTCCGGTCCATAACTTTGTCATTTATCAAAGGAATTTGAGATAACTTGGCACAGATGTTTGTTATAATAAGAAGATATGTCATGCGCAGCAACCAGACCCATACCTTCAGGGTCAAGGTCATACTTGCTCATTTAAGGTCAACATTGTCTATTTTAGGGTATATGTTGTGTCCGGTCCATAACTTTCTTATCCATAAAGGACTTTTGTTAACACTTGCCATAATTGTTCACAATATTCAGATGATGTGTCATGCGCAAAACCCAGTCACCTACCTCCAAGGTCAAGGTCACACTTTGAGGTCAAATACTTACATAGTCTGTTTCAGGGTATATTTTGTGTCTGGTCTATAACTTTTTCATAGATCAAAGAATTTTGAAAATACTTCACACAATAATAGTCACTATAATAAGAGGATGTGTCATGCGCAACACCTGCATCCCTACCTCCAAGGTCAAGGTCACACTTAGAGGTAAAAAATTAACATAGTCTATTATAGGGTATATTTTGTGTTGAATCTAGAACTTCTTCATTGTTCAAGGGATTTTGAAAATACTTGGCACAAATAGTCAATATGATTAGATGATATGTCATGCGTAACATCTGTGTCCCTACCTCCAAGGTCAAGGTCACACTTAGAGGTCAAAGATTTACATAGTCTGTATATTTTATGTCCAACCTATAAGTTCTTCATAGTTCAAGGGATTTTGAAAATACTTGGCACAAATAGTCTCAATAATAAGATGTTTTGTCAAGCACAACACCTGCTCCCCTACCTCCAAGGTCAAGGTCACACTTAGAGGTCAAAGCTTAACATGATAGATTTTTAAATTCTGTGTTTCATTTTATTTTTTTTAACAAATTTATTGTTACATTTGCAGATCTAGCATTGATCATAATTTTGGACTGAATGTCCTGAGATCCATACCTCAATATTTTGAAATAGCACAATTTTATGCATCATATAAAACTTCCCAGGGCGGGGGACGTTGGTAACTCTGTTACAAATACTTGTTGAATAAAGATTTCCAATTGATAACAGTGACATCAAAAATTTCATCTTCGGAAGAATTGATCATTCTTGACCAATTTGTAATGCAAAAACTTTAGATAATGACATATGATGCAAGAAATACAAATTTGACCGTTTCTCAGAATAAGTTGATATTTTTTATCATCTACTGGACAGGAGAAGAGGTTTATAATTTATTTATATCTAAAGAAATATTGATGAAACAAAAGCGTATGTTCATGTTTTACTGTAAAAATTTATTTCACTGCAGCGAAACATATTTTGCGCAATTATACTGATATCTTGCGGACTACTTTCTTTTAAATTCTGTCAGTATACAAAATTGTAATGTCAAAAAGAGAAAAATGTATATAATAAACAGAAAATTCAAGTTTTTCCTACTGTGGTATGAAAATTATATTTTACTCATGGCTACTGCCACTCATGAAATATTTATTTTCATACCACTCGAAAATAAATCCTGTATTTAAAGAAAAACTTGAATATCCTTTATCTATTTGAAATAGAAATTATTCACCAAAATGAACATATTATCCTTCCAGCTTGCGTCCATAAAATCAGTTCCTCTTATCATTTTTCATTTTATTTAGCTGCAACTGAAGTTTTAGATGGACTTAAAGAAGTGAACAAACAAGTAACAAAACTTAAAGGCCTGCAAAACACTGTTTCTACCACCTTGACTATCACCAGGAATAAATTAAGTGGTGTACCAGGTGAAGATAAAGTCGACAGTTTAAAGTTTCAGCCAAACTTCACTGCAGTAAGTACATAACCTTTGTTTGATCTTAATTATAGTTCCACCACTTTGCTGTTATAAGGACTTATTCTCTTTACAGCATGCATAATACTGTATTGTGCATAATATTGTTCTCAGCTTAATATTGTTCTCAGCATTATATTGTTCTCAGCATAAGATTGTTCTCAGCTTAATATTGTTCTCAGCATTATATTATTCTCAGCATAATATTGTTCTCAGCATTATATTATTCTCAGGATAATATTGTTTAAAAAGTTATACAGATATTCTTTGGACATAAGAAATGACCCTTGTATGTCTAGTGGTTTTACTTTACAATGTATGTGTTTGTTTTTGTGTTTTGTTCTAAGCATAGTTCCACCACTTTGCTGTTATAAGACCCTATTCTCTTCTCAGTGTGCATAATATTATATTGTGCATAATATTGTTCTCAGCTTTATATTGTTCTCGGCAAAATATTGTTCTCAGCATAATATTGTTCTCAGGATTACATTGTTCTCAGCATAATATTGTTCTCAGCATACTATTGTTCTCAGGATTATATTGTTCTCAGCATAATATTGTTCTCAGGATTATATCGTTCTCAGCATAATATTGTTCTCAGGATTATATCATTCTCAGCATATTATTGTTCTCAGGATTATATCGTTCTCAGCATAATATTGTTCTCAGGATTATATTGTTCTCAGCATATTATTGTTCTCAGGATTATATCGTTCTCAGCATAATATTGTTCTCAGGATTATATTGTTCTCAGGATTATATTGTTCTCAGGATAATATTATATTCAACATTATATTAATCACAGCATAATATTGTATTGAGCATGACCATTTTAAGTAAAGTGAATATTATAGACTATTATAGAAAACTGATCATTGAGACAAAGTTGCACAATGATTTAAATACAACATACATTAAATACAAATATAAAAACTGGCTTTTGAAGGGACAGGTTAGCATATGGGCCCAGTAAATGATTATATAGATGATGACAAAAACATATATGATTTCAGATGTATAATTTGGTAGGTTGTGTAGTTATCTGTAAACAATGGTGATTGAAATTGTAATTTTTTTTTGGCTGCATGATATCCCTGTAGATAGTGCATGTAAGAAAAAAAAAATAATTATTAAATAAAAAAAACACATGGGGTTAACTCAGATAAATGTATTAGACTTGATAAGTAGGTTTGTGATAAACAGTACCGATAAATTAATATGATTGTATTTGCAATGCTCAGCAAACAATGCTAGTTGCTCTCAGCCACCAATGCCAGCCCTTTTCAGCCTTCATTTCCACCTCTCCTTAGTCAACAATTCCTTAATCAGCAATGCCATCATTCCTTAATCAGCAATGCCAACAACTCTAAGATACCAATGCCAGCAACAGTCTGCAAACAGTGTCAACACTCAAGCTATCAATGCAAGGACATCTCGACAGCCACTGTCAACATCCCTCAGCCACAAATGCCAGTTTTAATGAGTCTAGCAAATCCAGTTCTCTTCAGTACTCTAATGTTAGCACCTCTCAACCACTAATGTCAGCACTTACCAGCTTAAAATGCCAGTTTCCCTCGGGTAACATTGCCAGAACCACTTATTGTCCAGTGACATAACCCCTCAGCCTCAAAGGCATTCACCCCTGAACCCTTCATAATTAGCACTATTAAGCCTTCAATATTAGTTTCATGCCTGCACTCAACAGCAAACTATGTCAACATTCCTCTGCTTGGATTGTCAGAATTCCTCAGCAAACAATGCCAGCTATCCTCAGCCACCAGTGGAAACAAACATCTGCAAACAATTTTAGCACAGTTCAACCTCGATTGCAAGCACCTCTCAGTCACCTTTGTCAGCTTTCCTCAGACACCAGTGTTTCAGCTTTCAATACCAGGATTCCTCAGTCACCTTTGTCAGCTTTCCTCAGACACCCGTGTTTTAGCTTTCAATACCAGGACTCCTCAGTCACCTTTGTCAACTTCTCTCAGACACAGTGTTTTAGCTTTCAATACCAGCATTCCTCAGTCACGTTTGTCAGCTTCTCTCAGACACCAGTGTTTTAGCTTTCAATACCAGCATTCCTCAGTCACCTTTGTCAGCTTCTCTCAGTCACCAGTCTTTTAGCTTTCAATACCAGCATTCCTCAGTCACCTTTGTTAGCTTACCTCAGACGCCAGTGTTTTAGCTTTCAGTACCAGCATTCCTCAGTCACCTTTGTCAGCTTCTCTCAGACTCCAGTGTTTTAGTTTTTAATACCAGCATTCCTCAGTCACCTTTGTTCAGCTTACCTCAGACACCAGTGATTTAGCTTTCATACCAGCATTCCTCAGTCACCTTTGTCAGCTTCCTCTCAGACACCAGTGTTTTAGCTTTCAGTACCAGCATTCTTCAGTCACCTTTGTCAGCTTACCTTAGACACCAGTGTTTTAGCTTTTAGTACCAGCATTCCTCAGTCACGTTTGTCAGCTTCCCTCAGACACCAGTGTTTTAGCTTTTAATACCAGCATTCCTCAGTCACCTTTGTCAGCTTCCCTCAGACACCAGTGTTTTAGCTTTCAGTACCAGCATTCTTCAGTCACGTTTGTCAGCTTCACTTAGACACCAGTGTTTTAGCTTTTAATACCAGCATTCCTCAGTCACGTTTGTCAGCTTCCCTCAGACACCAGTGTTTTAGCTTTTAATACCAGCATTTATCAGTCAAGTTTGTCAGCTTCCCTTATACACCAGTGTTTTAGCTTTCAGTACCAGCATTCCTCAGTCATGTTTGTCAGCTTCCCTCAGACACCAGTGATTTAGCTTTTAATACCAGCATTCCTCATTCATGTTTGTCAGCTTCCCTCAGACACCAGTGATTTAGCTTTTAATACCAGCATTCCTCAGTCACGTTTGACAAATGTTAGTAATTTCTATTAACCAAAAATACCAACATCTCTCAGCAACCAGTGCTACTAACTATCCACAGACACCAATGCAGGCACCTTTAAGTCATCCTTGACAGAATTACTCAGCACTTTTCTGCCTCCAGGGCAGCACTCCTCAGTCTCTGAAGAAACTCCCTTGATCATTCAACAATGCAAAATCACCTCAGCCTCCAAAGCAACACCCATTGATCAGCCAACAATGCAAGCACTCCTCAGCCTCCAAAGCAACACCCTTGATCAGCCAACAATGCATTCACTTCTCTGCCTCCAAAGCAACACCCTTGATCAGCCACCAAATGCAAACACTTTTCAACCTCCAAAGCAACACCCTTGATCAGCCAACAATGCAAACACACCTCAGCCTCCAAAGCAACACCCTTGATCAGCCAACAATGCATTCACTTCTCTGCCCCCAAAGCAACACCCTTGATCAGCCACCAAATGCAAACACTTTTCAACCTCCAAAGCAACACCCTTGATCAGCCAACAATGCAAACACACCTCAGCCTCCAAAGCAACACCCTTGATCAGCCACCAATGCAAACACACTTTTCAACTTCCAAAGCAACACCCTTGATCAGCCAACAATGCAAACACACCTCAGCCTCCAAAGCAACACCCTTGATCAGCCAACAATGCATTCACTTCTCAGCCTCCAAAGCAACACCCTTGATCAGCCACCAATGCAAACACTTTTCAACTTCCAAAGCAACACCCTTGATCAGTCAACAATGCAAACACACCTCAGCCTCCAAAGCAACACCCTTGATCAGCCACCATGCAAACATTTTTTTTAAACCTCCAAAGCAACACCCTTGATCAGTCAACAATGCAAACACACCTCAGCCTCCAAAGCAACACCCTTGATCAGCCAACAATGCAAGGACACCTCAGCCTCCAAAGCAACACCCTTGATCAGCCAACAATGCATTCACTTCTCAGCCTCCACAACAACACCCTTGATCAGCCACCAATGCAAACACTTTTCAACTTATAAAGCAACACCCTTGATCAGTCAACAATGCAAACACACCTCAGCCTCCAAAGCAACACCCTTGATCAGCCAACAATGCCAACACACCTCAGCCTCCAAAGCAACACCCTTGATCAGCCTACAATGCAAGCACTCCTCAGCCTCCAAAGCAACACCCTTGATCAGCCAACAATGCATTCACTTCTCAGCCTCCAAAGCAACACCCTTGTTCAGCCACCAATGCAAACACTTTTCAACCTCCAAAGCAACAACCTTGATCAGCAACAATACAAACACTTTTCAACCTCCAAAGCAACATCCTTGATCAGCCAACAGTGCAAGCACTTCTCAGCCTCCAAAGCAACACCCCTGATCAGCCAAGATTTAAAGTTCACATTTGTGAGGCTGTACATTGCACACAAAATTCAGGTTTTGTTCAGAGCATATCTTCTACATGCATGGAGGGATTAAAGTATGACTTGACACAAATGTTCACTCTCATGAAATGTAGTGTTGCACACATGAATCAAAAATCAAGGTTATATGAAAACACTTTCCCAGGGTAAAAACACTACAAACATAGTGGAATTGTTACCTAGTTTGGCACAAATATTCATCATTGTAAAACATAGGGGTGTGAGCTAAATTCACTTCTTTTGGCCAAGGTCAAGGTCACATGCAAAGGTCAAAGGTCAGATAAAAAAAATGTAAATGTAAGTATTGTTTTATTATTCATAAATAATGGAATTTAAATGTAATTGTTTGCTTTTATGAGACTAAGCATTTGTGATGGACTTAATTAATGTGACAAATTGGGATTCATTTGGATTTATTAAGGGTTAAGTTTTTTTTTTTCAAAACTTGATAGAGAATATTTGCTTTGATTTGCTTTAATGGTCTCCTTCCGAGCACTATTCTTGGCCTATTCATATAGCATTTGACTTATTAGTGTCAGTGTTAATTGATTATTTGGTTGCATGTGTAGTTCTAAATGTTTTGTCATAATTCACATGTTTACGTTGCTTTACCCCTACCATCATAATTATATTGATTGGACTTGTCCGTCATTCAATCTGGACAAAACCATTCATCATTTTAGGGAATTT